CAATATATATTTTGTTTTTGGGTTCAAATATGGTGTAATCTTGGGATCTGGCTTAGAGGCTAATTAGCAGTCCTTCCAACTATTATGAACTGCCACAAAATTGTTAATGGCTTCTATTTTATATATTTTTTGAGAAACTATAGATCTGTTTAGATCTCCTTTCTTCAGTTGAATGAAACCGTCCCAAATAGAGACAACCAGGCTTGGTAGGCTTGCTACTTCAGCAAATGCTGATAGCCATGTTTTCCCTCATGCCTCTATATTCTGTGTCCCTTTTCTGGAACAAGTATGCAAATAATGATGTTTGGCTTTAGATTAGTATGGTACTGTATGTTTCAGGTCACGGACTCAAACCTTATTGAACCCACATGCTCAGTGTACTAAACTGACAATTAGCATCTAGCAATGGCAGCACCCCCATGTTTCTCAGGAAATATTTTAGTCTTGTGATTTTTTTTTTTTTTTTTTTTTTTTTATGTAAATGGGTTAAACATACAAACCTACATATTTTAGTACAACTCCCAACATATGTGTGACATCAACAGGGTGGGCTTTAATGCCCACACTCCTCACATAGGCGTCACTGGGCGGTTGATGCTTAGATGCTGAGAGCTCACTGCATGCACAGGACACAGACCGAACTTTCAAAGATAGCTTTCGGTCTGGACTAAAGATCTGTAGACACAGGGATCGCCAATCCTTCCCTCCCCCAGGCGTACATAACTATGTAAAGGGATGCCAGGGTGGGTGGGAAGAGTTAAAGAGATTGTGTTAGCAGTATATACTGTAGGTGTCGCATATACTAGAACTGTGATCTTTATACCTCAGTAATGCAGCACTTGGCTACCTGAACCTTTTAAGTACCATAATAAAATAAACAAAAAATATACACTATATCATAACAATCGATAAAACAAAAATTACAATCTTTATCTTCCTCCATCAAAAATATAACAATTTTAGTGTCCCTCTCACTTGGTTAACGTTCTCAAAGAAAATCTAAAATGTTACAGTAAACAAACTATAAATAATATGTCAAGTCCTGTGAAAATTACAGTGTTGGGTGGAGTAAAAAGCAGCAGATGAAGAATCTAAGCAAGGACACTGAGTAAGTTGTTTGCACTGTGGTGGAAGAAGATCGATGGTGTCGTTTTCACAGGACTTTTTGACAGGTTGTTTATAGTTTTTTGTAGCATTGTATATTCTTTTTCATAGATCCAAAAATGTAGCTAACTGCTGGGGGATAGCTTCAAGGGAGTGTGTATGGGTGAGTATACCTTGCAGGGGGTGAGCTGTCAGGAGTTACTGTCACTTTTATTTGAATGGGCAAGTGACAGTGTTGCTTTAAGTTACCTTCTTAATAAACAGAGTTCAATTTATGTACAGTATACAAATCGAAAAATTTATAAAATATTTAGAAACATTAATTTTACAAGGAGGAGCGATGAGAATTATTACAGTATGCCAGACTATTCTGTATGTAATGCTGCAAAGGAATGCTTACATTCCCAAGGTTCATTATCTTATTCTGCTTCATGCAGACCTCTGTTGTTCCTGCAGTTGGCAGAGCCCTGAGACCCTTATCATTCATGTACCGATCTTCCATGGTCTACTAAAACCTGAAATCCTAAAGTAATGCCCAGGTCTTTTCCATAGGACAAGTCACAATGCAGAAACTATCACCATATTCATGGACTTACTCGTTTTACTTGTAGATTTATCCATTCCCCATTAGGATGCCAATTCTAGCAGGATCAAGCTGCCATGATAACTGGGCACCCCCTAGTTATTGTTTTATCTAGATGTTGGTTATCGGCAATTCAAGCAAAGCAACCTTAATTGTGACATTTTTGCAGCAATAGCAACTCAATGACTGTGGTTCATACATCAGCGGTAAATAAGTATAGTGCTGGTTATGAGTGACTTTTAAAGCTTACTATAGAGAAAGAGGACTACAGTGTACAAACGGCACATAACAAGATCCCTAGTGTTTAATCCAGTGTATATCTCCTTGTATCTCACATTTACCTGCTTGAAGGGAAACTGTAATGGGTTTTGGTCAATTTCTTTATTGAAAGTTTTTATATATTTTTTTTTACGTATATGTAGAAAGTCAAATAAGACAGCACTTTATGTCTTCTGATATGTCACTTTGTTAATCTACAAAGATTAACAAATCTACTAGTTAAAGCAGAACTACACTCTGTCTGTTTTTAATATAATATTTTAATATTCAAAACAAACTCATCCATCTATGTCTCCATGCTTTATTTTGTTGACAAATCACTTTGAAAAACACCCCTAAAATATCTAGAGCTGTGGCCATCGTGAGTAAGGGCAAAGGATTCGTGTTGCATTTACTTTTTGGAATCCATCTGCCCTTAGCTCAGGCCTTCACACAGGAGGCTGTGTTTAGCCAAGAAAACCCCTTATCCCTATTTAGACTCCTGGGCTGTATGACATTATTCTGGTCTAGGCCAGATACCAGAAAGCAACTAAGGGGGAAAAAACAAGTTAAAACAGTAAAATTGACCTTCCTATCTATTTACTATTGCTAGTAGCATAAGGATTAAAATAGTTAGTTTTAGTTCCGCTTTAAGATGTTGCCATCTAGACTAACTTAATCAAACCAGCATGTTCTTCGTGAAGCTTGCCATTCGCTGGAAGATAGTGCTAAATATTCATGTTTATCTATAAAAAAAAGGATAACAAAAGATTTGTTTTTAATTTTTCTGACCATAATACAGAACATACCTTAAAGCGCACTTTTTTGATTTTCTTTGTAATTTTACAGTATACATAATACATGTGGCATCTTTATGTTTTTAAGAAACCATATATATATATACGTGATGTGCACTTCCGGGTAGGGGGGTGCGTGTGCCGCCATTGGCAGCTATGGATGTCAATCACCGGGTCACTGATGGAAATTCCCCGCTGGCACCCAGTGATCATCTGGGAAAGTTGATGGGAGAGACCTGTGTGAACAACAGAAGTCTCTCTCCTTCCAGCACAGACATGCTGCTTTGAATTCTCAGCATAGCAGAGAAATACAAAACCGCATGTCTCCGTAGTAAAACACACAGAGCACACGGTTAACCCTTTGATCACCCCAGATGTTAACCCCATTCCTGCCCAGTGTCAGTACAGTGTCAGTGCTGCTTTTATTAGCACTGATTACTATATTAGAGTCACTGGGGGTTGTCATTCGCAGTCAGTCAGTTCCCACCCAGTGTCAGAATGCCTGCCGCAGTCCGGCTATAAGTCACTGATCGCCGCCATTACTAGTATAGAAATAAAATTAAAATTCCAGTATATATGCCGCTATTTGTAGACACTATAACTTTCACGCAAACCAATTAATTTACACTTATTGGGATTTTTGTTTTAGCAAAGACATGGATCAGAATACATTTTAGTCTAAATTTTATGACTAAATTATTATTATTTTTTTTATTTTTTTGGATATGTTTTATAGCAAATCAAAAACATTTTTTTTTTTTTTTTTTAAATTGTCAGACTTTTTTTTGTTTATAGCGCAAATAATAAAAAAACTCAGAGGTGATCAAATACCACCAAAAGAAAGCTCTATTTGTGGGGAACAAAAAGGACATAAATTTAATTTATGTACAGCGTTGCATGACTGCGCAATTGTCAGTTAAATTAACAGCGCCATATCGCAAAAAAATGGCCTGGTCAGGAAGGGGGGTAAACTCTTTGGCGGGTAAGTGGTTAAAATGTTACTAAACCCACATCAGTAAAATCAGTCTGTATATGCAGTAAAGCATGCTTGTTATACTCGTGGAACTTAAGGGGTAATCCTCTGCATTGTGTAAAAAGATTATTTGATCCTGACTTCTCTGATCCTCCCCTTCCACGTCCCCATTTCACCTCCTGAACACAACCTCGGAGGCACTCTGCATTTGCTCAGTTTGGTGTGTACTGCTATAGTTATTCTGTTTCTTGGAAGAGTTAATGTGAACAGCATAGGGTCAATCCATACTGTCCAGACAGAGGGTCAGGGGTCATGCAATCTCATAGGGTAGTGAGAGGAGAACGAAAACGCCTACAAGCTTTAACCAGTGCTCAGGTGAACACTAATAGAAGTCACAAGACTGCTCTAACTGGTGATGAGAAAAGGTATTTAGCAGTTTATTTACTAAAATAATTGCATTTCCATGTTCTGTGTACTGTGGGAGACCAGATATAGTGAATGCAGGGTCCTGGGTTTAGTAATACTTTTAAAAGGCAGACTTGTATGCACATGCATGCTATTAGGATACAGATACAGGAGTAAACATCACCCACCCAGCACGTATTCAATGTCTTTATGCATGCCAGAGGTAGAAAAATTATTCTTGGGTCCTTTGTGTAGGTTTAACTTTAAAGTGACGAGCTGTAAAGGTTTTTAATGCATCATCATTGTACAATTTTGGGTATTGGATGTAGAAATTAAATTGTGTTTCAGTGCAAAAAAAACACCAACATATTTCTTACTGAAAATAAATATATTCTTCATAAATATTTGAAGTTTTTCATTTCCCAGTGATTTCCTACTGTCATTATTTTGAACCCTCCAGCTACTTGGGTAATCTCACCCAACTCAAAAAAATTTCTAGGGAGAACACTGCTCACTCATCCACGGTCCCTCAGCACCCTTGCTCAGTTGCTCTAACAGGACATGGCTTTGGCGAATGGGGTAGCAATGGGTGATCTTGCCCTTGTTCCAGTGTTCAGGGTCAGTTGCCAAGCCCAAACAAAGGGGGTGTTGGCAAGTGACATCACCCACCCAGGTAAACTCAAACACTGTACTTACCCAGGGTGGACTCCTACAATGTTGATGGGTGAGTATATACCTTGCTGTTGTCATAGGCTATTAGTAGGCAGTTACTTTACCCTGTATGGGCAAGTGACAGTGTCTGTTTAAGCGAAGTCCTTTGCAATTTGGTCTGTAGAGACTTGAAATTTCTGTAATTTTAAAGTTTTATTTGTCTTTTCAGCTTCTGGATGTCAACTGGACAGGACTGACAAATCTTTTGGACATTCCTGGATTGAAGTGAGTGCAAATTTAAAAAGTGTGTTTTCAACCCTACCTAAAATATTTTTTAATTGGCCTTAAACATAACATCAAAGGGAGGCATCAAGTCCAGAATATGAAAGAGAAATATTTGCTCAGTCGCCTGAGGTGCATGAAGTGAGCTGAAATCCAGCATGATTAGGGTTAATGAGGCTGTTTAGAGCATAATAATGGTATGTATGTTTAGTAATCCCAATCAAACAGATTTCACCTTTGGTCAGTTCATAGCAGCCAGAATAGAAAGAAGATTGTCAGTTGTTTGCTATGTATTACTGTACACTTCTTTGTACAATATTTTAGTTTCTTAGCAACATAAATATCAGTAAATGAAGAAAATGCAACCATTTTGTTACAGAGAAAAACTGATACAAATCTGCTATACAGGGAGGCTACACTTAGTGATCATCTGGTCTAAGACATTTGAGTCATTGACCCAAAACAAGTGTGCAGGTGTGCAGATAAGAAGTTTAAAATTTTCCTGATTTTCCTGTTTTGCATATTTGTTTCAGATCAGTGACTCAGAAAGTATTGAAGTCAGAGGGTCAGAAAAATGACCAGACAACTAATATTTTCAGAAGGAGACCAGCATTGTTAGACAGATTTGGTTGGGGTATAATTTCTGCAAAGTAAGGGGAAATCTCCTCTTAGGCTAGGTTCGCACCTATGCAGGTTGAGGTTGATGTGTTTTTATTGGTGCCTGTTGCAGCACAGTTTGCGTTTTTCACACATTTCCATTAAAGTCTGTGGAACCAAAAACACAATGTGCTGGGGGCAAAAAAGGCCCTGACTCTCCAAAAATTCACAAATGAAAACACACAGACGTGAACATGACCCATTAGAAATCATGCTAAATGGACTGTAGTGCATTTCTGCAAATTCAAAAATTCACTGCAAAACGCATAGGTATGAACATAGCCCTAAGCTCCTTTCATACCAACATTCTGATCTGATTTGTATGTAGGCAGATCTGAACGGAAGCTCAATGTTTTTCTTTGGGCATATGTAAACTGCAGTTCATCTGTTTACATTCAATTGATTTGGATACATTCCAGACTGATATCTGACCTAAGTATAAGGTTGTTAATGGATGTACATCCGTTTACACCCGCCTGCCCATAGACCTGTTATGGGTCTGTTGCAAGATGCAGGAAAAAACTGAATAGACTCCGATGTGTACTAAAATGAAAAAGAATGGACTTCTGTTCTACTCTGATGCGGCAGGGAATCTGTTTTGTGATCCCCTGATAACTGGAATGGATGCCGCTTGTCCCAGATTCTATCGTATATTCTGTGACCCGCTAAAGTTTTGGATATCTCATTACTTTCTGTCTCGGACACACTGGCCACCAAGACAAATAGAGAGGGAGAATTGTGCCGGCAAGGACACAAACTGCTGTAAAAGCATACAGAGGGTTTAGGACTTCCAAAAAAAAAAAATAGTTTAGGCTTTACATATACTTTGTATACAATTTAAAGTACATTGTCAGTTGAAGCAATATTTATAGTTGCATGTATTTTTTTTCCTACTCGCATTCGATTCGTAGAAAAACATTTCCCGTACAATAGAAATGAGTCATTAAGATGTCACAGACCACATCAGTTTTAACAAACTGTAGTTAATAATGTATTGCGAGACCAGGATACAGGTGAAAAGAACATTAAAGGTGACATCTGCTGTATGAATAAATGATGACAGTTCAGTACACAGCTTCTGAGTAGCCTCCTTGTTTAGTGACATTTTGCAGTAGGTGAGCATGTCATACTTTCAATAACATTTATTTTAGAGCTCTATTTCCACCTAGTGGATAAGTTACATATTACACCAATTATGAATGAACAGTGCCCACTCTTCCTACCAAAAACATTAACAGTACTGTGATGCTTAGGGATAGATACATTTCAGGGGGGCATATATGTATTCTTCATGGTTGTCAAAATGCACTGTGTCTTCTTTTATAAGTCTAGTGCACTGCGCTAACACAAGGTTAAGCACAGTTTTTGTTACTAAAAGAAAACATGCATTCTTGCTCAAGCCCTCTTCATAGGCCAAGTAGAAAAAAAATCAGAAGATCTATGCAGACACAGGTTTATATTGCCCTGGCTGGGCATGCATTGTACTGTATATCCAAGGGTCTTCTTTCTTTCTTGAATTGCTGCATGTGGGGGCATTTTTAATTTTTGTTCCAGAAAGTGATTTATTCTCTAACCCTGAACTCTAAGGTGACATAAAAGCAGCACTGTAATCATAACAATTAATCGTGACAATTAATGCAGCACTGTAATCATAAATATGTCCATAAAGAGACCCTGTCACCAAGTAAAAGCACAGAAAAATCAAGTGGTGTAAAAATTCTAACCAACAGTGTTTTTCCTTTCTAGAAAAATGTTGTGTTCACTTGCAGTGTGTCTTGGAACTTGCAAATTAATTGACTAGTCAGTTGGCTAGCACAACCCCCTAATCATAATGTTCTTCCTTTTGGCAGTGGCATATCTGATACCATAATATTGGATATTATTTCCAACTATCTGGTTCTCCCCAATCGTATTACTGTTCCTCTTGTGAGTGACCTCCAGATTTCACAGCTACGCTTCCCAATACCTAAGGTGAGTAGTTTACTTTAGAGTCAGGTGTGGAATGTTTTTGCACTACAAGAGATGCTGCTTTTTTTCCTATATATTATTACATCAGTCAAATGCATTGTGGAAGATGATGAAAGGCAATATTATTATATCAATATTCTGTTCATATTAATATTATGTTCATATTTTAGAAAACTGAAAGACAGGCTTATTTTTTTCATAAATATGTATAGTATGTAGTATAAAAATTATAAAAATGTCTAGTTTTTCTTTTAATTTGATCTTTTAGGGTGTGCAAAAATTATAGGATGAAAATTATTGCAGTTCTAATTAGAAATAGGTAACTGGTTGGTTGGTTGGAAAAAAAAGAAAAAAAGATGAACATGATTGGTGGCATAAAACGATGCTAAATTAATGCATGCATGGTCAGCAGTAGATAAAAAAGCCCACAGCATGTGGACATATGAACATCCCACTTATATGAACTTGGACTTCCCATTCTAAAACCATGGACATTGATATGGAGGTGATCTGTCAACTTTGTCTCTTAAGGGCCGCCACACTTCTGGGAAGACTTTCCACAGGATTTAGAAATGTATCTGTGGGGAATTTGTTGTCCATTCAGCCTCAAGAACATTTGTGAGGTCAGGTAGTGATTAGAATACGTAGCTCACAATCTGTGTTCTAGTTCATCCCAAAGGTGTTCAGTAGGGTTGCGGTTAGGCCACTTTAGTTCTAACACCAAATGCATAAAACCGTGGGGGAGATTTACTAAAAGTGGAGCACTCAGAATCTGGTGCAGCTATGCATGGTAGCCAATCAGCTTCTAACTCCAGCTTGTTCACTTGAGTTTTGACAATAAAACCTGGAAGCTGATTGGTTTCTATGCAAAGCTGCGCCAGATTTAACATTCTTCAGCTTTACTAAATCTACCCCTTATGTCTCTGGAGCTTGTTTTGTTTTTAGAGGCACAGTCATACTGGAACAGTAAATGGCTTTCCCCAAATTGTGGCCACAAGGACAGAAGAGCACAATTATCTAAAATTTCTTTGTATGCTGTAGCATTAACAGTACCCTTCACTGGAAACGCCTAAAGCCTGGTGCACACCAATGCGTTTTTTTAGTGCCTTTTGCAGAAACACTCTACAGTCCATTTAACATGGTTTCCTATGGGACATGTTCACATCAAGGCTTTTTTAAGCTGCTGTGTTTTTGGAAAGGGTCAGGAACTTTTTTTAAACACAAAAAGCAGCGTATTTGCTACAATATAGTTCAATGGAGATGCTGCTCAAACGCATGTAGTGCGCAGCAACAAAAATATTTCCCCTTGAACAAAAAACAGCAAAAAAAAGCTGGAAAAAAACACAAAACAGGCCGAATACGCAAAGCAAAATGCAAAAACGGATCAAAAGAAAACTGCATTGGTATAAACCAGGCCTAAGCATAGTAATTTGGAGAGCTGTTTTTGTTCTTTTGTCCATATCGTTAGTATGATGGTCAGGAGTCCTTGTACTTTTGTCCATATAGTGTAATAAATATGATTAATATGATATGACAAATATTACTTTCATTAACCTGTCAGAATCTATGCAGCCTCTAAGCTTTGCATGTTGTAATCAGGTGGTGAAAGAAAACCTGTCATGAGTGGGATAAAGGTAGTGACATTGCTCATCTTCTTTTAATAAAATGCCAATCACCTGACTGGTTCTGGCCTCATGTAGAAAAATAAAAGATATCCTTCTGATAAGGGAGAATCCCCTCAAAAACATTATTTTTCTACCCTGAACACTTAAAGAATAAGTGCACTTTAAAACTAAATGCATTTAATTTGCTATCTCTTCACATTTTGCATTTTTGGTTTACATTCTTGGTGATGGTCCAAGGAAAGAGCTGCTTTAAATTCTGTGCCACTGATTTGGGACAAGCATGCATCAAGTGAAATCGGTGTGACACTCATCACTCATTGGTCTATTTGCTCACTGGTTCAAAAATCTTTCAAGCCAGAGAATCAGCAATGACAGTCAGGCTTCTAGCATTTTTAGAAACAACAATGGCAGCCTGCATGTTTCACCAAGCATAGGTTAATATATCGGTGTATGAGAAAAAAAGTAGATAAGAAAAAGATTTCTGCCCAGAAAAATATCATTTAGAAAGAACAATTAGTTTGGATGTGGAAATTGGGGTGGCTATGGGTATAGAGATGACTCTGCTTTTGGCCCATGCAAGTATCAGTTTTATCCTCCAGTTAAACAGAATTTGTTTTCTTAGGCATTTAAATGAATGTGATCAACACAGGATGTTGTTTTCCTCTTTAAATAGGGAGTTCTGAGGATCCATTTTATTGAAGCTCAGGATCTGATGTGGAAAGACACATACATGAAGGGACTGATAAAAGGAAAGTCTGATCCATATGGAGTTTTAAGGATTGGCAATCAAGTTTTCCAGAGCAAAGTCATTAAGGAGAACCTGAACCCCAAATGGAATGAAGTGTATGAGGTAATGAAAATTGTATTTGTTTTTCTTAAACAGCTACAAAGTATATATGCACCATATAGTTGTCCATCCCTGTTTGTAACCGGGAATGATTACAGGAGAGTTTCTCAGCCTTTTCAATACTGGGGAACCCTTGAAATGACTTTCCAATCTTGGGGAACCCCTGCTAATAATTGCTATTGCTACAACTTATGATACTCTAGTGTGTAGTGTGGTGGTCAGTAGAAAAAATGCTCCTTACACTTGTGGCCAATGGGAAGAATTTCCATGTTACAGATATCTACAAAGATCATTGGCGTCAGTGGGAACTTATCTGAAAGGCAAAAATGAGTCATTGCTCATGGAACCCTAGCAACCTTTGGAGGAACCCTAGGGTTCCACAGGACCGTGGTTGAGAAACCCTGGATTACAGTGTACATCAGAGTTTCTCTACTAGAGTTCCGTGGAACCCTAGAGTTCCTCCAAAGGGTACTAGGGATTCCTTGAGCAATTTCTACTTCTCCGATAAGTAACCATTGACACCAATGACATTTCTAGTGATCTGTAAGGAGAGGGAATTATCCCCAAAGACCACAAATGTAAGGAACATGAGCTGTAGATATAGTAATTATTGGCAGGGTTCCCTGAGCCTGGAAAGTTATTTCTAGGATTCCTCCAGAGTTAAAAGGTTGAAAAAGGCTGGTGTACATGAATTGGGGGGCCCTATGGGCACATGTCAACCACCATGTACTGTAAGTTTTTCTTTATGCCCTGTACACTCAGTATGGGTAAAGCACTGGGTTCAGGACCTAGAACTAACCATTACACATAAAGCAGTGACCCGGCCCTCTTCCGTTCACACTGTTGCCCTTTATTCATTTGAATTGGTCGCCTGTTGCCCCAAAACACACACAAAAAAAAATGCATGTACTATTTAAAAAATGCATGTACTATTTTCTGTAACACAGCGCATTACAACACACCTCATGCACAATTTAACTGCATCACACCAACGTGCCTGTTTCCGCAGCACAGTGGTGTGAAGAAGCATTAGAGACTCACCAGCTACTGCAGGAAAATAATTAGTAAATATACGGTGTGGTAAGGCAGCCCATTAATTTGGATTGTCTTTCTAATCCACCAAAACGCACCCAAAAAAATGCATGTTCTATTTTCTGGAACACAGTGCATTACAATGCACCTCATCGCACAGCGAAACCACATCGCTTACACTGTGATGTGAAGGGGATCTGAAACTCTTACCCACCAATGTTGGAAACTAATTAGTAAATGTTTGTAAACTGAACCCTCAGTACAGGTATTGATGCAACTCACAGTTAAACAAATCGAGAATCTACATAAAATGATATACTGGCTCTGGCTGTTTTTTGTTTGTTTTTTTGGGAGGGGGGGGGGGGGGGGGGGATTTTAACATAAGCTAACTATACGTGGTTATAAGCTCATATTACTTTCATGGCATGGCACATGTAATTTTATTAATCCTACCTTTGCCATTGTACACAGGCATTAATTTATGAGCATCCCGGCGAAATGTTGGAAATTGAGCTCTTTGATGAAGACACGGACAAGGATGATTTCCTGGGCAGGTAATCCTCTGTTGATTATAGCTACTACTATATTTTTCTTGTGTCCTCTTGATACCTGTACTTGTTGATTGTCCTAGTCCTCAGCATTATAGTTTTTGAGGTGCTTGACCTAATTTACATTTTTACCCAGATAGACATATACAGTGTTATGTTGCAGTTCAGATCTGCAAGGAACTGCATTGTCTTTGCATTGGTCAATCTTTAATGCTGCATTGAAATCAGCACTGGAAGAATGGGATTTGGGAGGAGGGGGGGACCACGCTCTACCAGGCTCAGGGTGTACACAGGACCTCAACTTTTCTCCAAGTCAGATATGATCCCTGCTTCCTCATGGCACCAACATTCTGTTGTCAAATGCCAGAGCCTCAGTTTCCTCAGTGGAGAGTCTGGCATTTGACAATAAACAACTTTAGTACTGTGCTATAGCCAAAAGATGGCTACAGCGCAACACTTTTGTTCTGGAATGGCATCTATAAATGTAATTCCAGAATACGCGCCCCCCCGTAGGGCGCGTTCTGTGGCTGATATGTCCTTTGGATTACAGATCACGGTAAAGGGCCAATCACAGCATCTCTTTACTATGTGATCAGCTGTGTGCAATCACAGCTGATCACATGTAAAAAGACTTGCCGGGTATCAGCAGTCTCTTACTCACATGCTGTCTCTGTGTGAGGAAAAGACAGCTGATACCTGGCAAGGCTATCAGTACTTTGTACTGATAATCAGGGTACTAATCATCAGTGCCACCTGTTGGTGCCCATCATCGCAGCCTCATCAGCACACGAGTGAAGAAGAAAAAGAACAGAAACTAAGGAAAAAAAATTTTTTTTCCAAATTTTTGTTTTTTTTTTCGTTTAGCAAAAAAATAAAAAACCCAGTGGTGATTAAATACCACCAAAAGAAAAAAAAAATGTATTTGGGTACAGTGTTGCATGACCCCACAAAATGTCATTCAGAGTGTGTCCGTGCTGAAAGCTGAAAATTGGCCTGGGCAAGAAGGGGGGAGAACATACCCAGTATTGAAGTGGTTAAATGACAGCAGTTGGGGATTAGATCCATGAGGGGGGAAGCAGAACCTCAACTTGGAATGAAGTTTAGGCCCTGTGTACAGAATGGGGCTCGAGTTCCACAGGGATCAGTCTAAACACTAAGAAAGTAACTTGCAAGCCTGTAATCTAGCACTGTTCGATTAGGAACATTTTAGGGCAAGTCGACTTTAACAGCTCAATTAAAAACAAAAATATTATATTGTGTATATAGAGCAACAGTTACTAGCACAAAAAAAAAAAAAAATCCAGGTTTACAAGAAAGACATTGGTAGGAAACAATTTGTTAGAGAATGTTATATTGTGATTTAAGGTTTTCAGATTTTTCTATGTAGTAATTTCATCCTTTTGATTTCTTTCAGTTTGATGATAGACTTGGAGGAAGTGGAGAAGGAGAAAGTAGTAGATGAGGTAGGTCAGATCCATCACTGTGTATTTTGTTCTGAATAGACAAAATTGACCTCTTTCCTGCAGGCCTATAGCAGATATACTGCTACAGGGTGTCACTCACCGGGTCACAGCCGATGATGACCCGCCAGCGCACGGTGATTACCAAGCATCTCCGAAAGGGAGGAGGACTGTTTTGTTTACTAACAGTCCTCCTCCCTGTCAGCACAGGCACACTGCTTTGGATGGCTGTACACCGCTATTAAAACACTCCCTGCACACAGTTAACCCTTTGATTGTTAACCCCTTCCTGCCCAGTGCCATTAGTACAGTGTCAGTGCTTTTTTTTTTTTTTGCACTGATCACTGTATTGGTGTCACTGGGGATGTCAGTGACACCAAGTCAGTTGCCCCCCAGTGTCGGAATGTCCGCCGCAGTCCCGCTATAAGTCGCTGCTTGCTAGTATAAAAAAAAAAAAAAAAATTCCAGTATCTATACCACCATTTGTAAACGCTATATCTTTCACATAAACCAATTAATTTACACGTATTGGGATTTTTTTTTAGCAAAGACATGTAGCAGAATACATTTTGGATTAAATTTATGACGAAAGTTAGATTTTTTTATTTTTTTTTTTTTCCATTGGACGTTTAATAGCAAAAAGTAAAAAAATTGTTTTTTTTTTTCTCTCAATTGTCAGTCTTTTTTTTTTTTTTTTTTTTTTTTTTTTTTTAATAGCGCAAAAAAAAAAAAAAAAAAAAAAAAAAAAAACCCACAGGCGATCAAATACCACCAATTGATGCTCAGTTTGAACTTCACCACGTCTAGATGCCTAAATGCATTGAGTTGCTGCCATGTGATTGGCTGATTAGCAATTTGTGTTACCAAGCAATTGAACAGGTGTACCTAATAAAGTGGCCAGTGAGTGTAAATCTTAAAGCTATTTTTTTCCTCTTGTTATTTCAACTGCTTAACTGCCTGCAATGCTTTCCTGAAGAGTAGCAAGTGGCGCATCAGTGGACAGATCGTAGGTAGGCCAATAGTAGAATATAATAAGGGATTAATGTTGAACCTTTTTCTAAGTACTTAATGAGCTTTGTTTGAGTAAGCATTAGCAAATATGAAAGACTGATGGCCATAGAACACTGCAGGTATCCCAGTGACCACCTGAAAACTGTGCAGCCAGGTGTTAGCAGATTTCTGTTCACTATTGCCAACACCATCTGGGATCACCCTGTCTGATTTCTATTTAATATAAATGTGCTAATTTTTTTTTAGTGGTTCACTCTGGATGATGCTACATCTGGGAAACTTCATCTAAAACTTGAGTGGCTTTCCCCAAAGTCTACCACAGAGAATCTGGACAAGGTATGTACCCACTGATGTGTGAAATAGTTAAACATGTATATATATATATCTATATATACGCACAAGTGCAAAGCTGTACAGTTATCTCTGATCTCTGAACTTTTGATTCTTATTTAACAAAAAGAAACATTTTTGAAAAGTTAGCTAGTCTGCCTGTCATGTGATCATATAATCAAAGGTGGTAACCATGCAAAACTGCATAAATTGAAAATTCAGTAGCAAACACACAAGAGAATATCCTCTCTAATAACTTGCAATAGAATATTAGGTGTTGCGCTGTTATGTAAACCAATATCACAATAAATAAAATAATCAAAACATATTAAAAAAAAATATTCATAAAGGAGAGCGTACGAAAAAAAAATCCACACTTGTGTAAAATTCCTGTTTTAGAAAAGCACAAATACAATAAAAAAAACTGAATATACAGTGAAAAATAATAGTCCACACTGAGTAAGTTAAAGGTGTTAGTCCACTTCAGAAGGAAATGCTCCACATTAAAGTAAGATGCGGGCTTGCCAGATGTAAAGACCACCCCTATTCAGAGTGCTCATAAGCACTCTAAATGCTCAACCTCAATGGCAACTCTCCATGCCAATCCCAATACTGCTTGCCATCTCTCCTCAGGTGAATAGTAAACTCGGTACAGGCAAGTATTCATAAAAAAAAATGAGCAGATAAGCACTTCTCATAGTGTAAACATCATAAAACACCATTTTGTGGACATAAAACTGCACTAAATTACACCATTATTGCCAGCTTGGTGATTACACTGATATGCGCATGCCTGTATATTTCTGCAAGGGAGTTAGCTGCTGGAGTCTGCTGAATGCTGAGACGAGGGGGTGCTGCGGCTGCACATGGGCATTGGATCTGTTGGAGGAATTCTGTCCTCCTCTCTGCTGCCGACTAGTGAGACGGGGAAGGCCAGAGATGAGCCGCTGCATGGAAAAGCGCAGGATTTGGCAGAGGAGATAAAGTGTTACTAAACCCACAAAAGTAAAATCAGTCTGTATATGCAGTAAAGCATGCTTGTTATACTCACAGTGGAACCTAAGGGGTTAATCCTCTGCATTGTGTAAAAAAGCCATTTGATCCTGTATTCTCTGCCCCTCCTCTTGTTCAAATGTCCATGTCTTATCTCTTGATAAGACAGACTGAGCCCGTAGCCACATGCACATGCTCAGTTTGGTGTGTATTGAGAGGTTAATTTTTTTTCTTGGGAGAGTACATGTGATCAGCACAGGGCCAATCAGCACTGTCCAGACAGAGGGTCAGGGGTTTTGCATCCTCCTAGAGCAGAAAGAAAACTCCTCCTACAAGCTTTAACCAATGCTCTTCTGAACACTGCTAGAAGTCACAAGACTGCTCTAACTGCTGATGAGTAAAGGTATTTAGCAGTTTATATTTACTAAAATAATTGCACTTCCATGTTGTGTGTACTGTGGGAGACCAGATATAGTGAATGCAGGGTCCTGGATTTAGTAACACTTTAAGTCCTTCTCTCTGCTGCCGATGACTGAGACAAAACAGGGCTGAGACAAGGGGGTGCCGCAGCTTCAGGAGATGTGCAAGGACCAAAGCATTTTGTTTGTAAAACCTCTGTCAGGTTTTTATTGCCATATGTCTCTCTATAGGTTAGTATTAATGTCAGCACAGGAAGTGATGGGAAATCTTTCCAATGGGGATACAGACAAAAATGAACACATTTTTGACGCAATGAAAGAATTAGAACTACTTCAGTATTTTTTTGGTATTGATGCCATTCTGCCCCAGTGACAACTAAACCTACAATTTTCTTGCATGGGCATTACAGTGACCTGAAGTGAAGGAGAATCTTCCCCAGTGAAGTCAGAGCCAGGAAAAAAAACTGACCGCAGTGGTATAGTTTTCAAAATCCATGCAAAACCCAAAAAAAAAGGCATTAATTTTTCTATGGGCACCATGCTAAATAAAATCTTGTGTGTAGACACTAGTATAATTTTACCATTTCAAATCTCTGATATTTAAGTAAGTATGGATATGAGACATGAATTTACATTCATGTAACCAAGACTTTCTGTATTTTCTGCAGGTGCTGGCAAGCATTAAGGCTGATAAGGATCAGGCAGATGATGGTCTCTCTGCTGCTCTGCTCGTCCTGTACCTGGACTCTGCTAGAAATCTGCCTGTAAGTGACATAGGTCGCTATTGGCCTGAGTATGTTAATCTCTTCTCCCCAGTGACATATCTCTCAAGTTACTTAAGGCACATGTTTACCTTCTGATCAGTTTATGGAACTTAACAGACTGTTCTCCGGGATCACATTCTCTATTCTTCAGGTGTATATAAAACAAAGATCTATTGATTGTTTAGTGAGCTGCCAATGCAATTTAACTTCTTGTCTCATCTTAGTATTTCTCTTCTACATAGTCCCATACTCTCATGGCAATTTATCAAGAATCTTGTACAGAGAACTCTGTCAGAGTGATGGATTCATCTGGTTTTAAAGACTGAGGACATGAAGAGAGTCTCCTGGCATTGTTTTCTAGATCATGTTTGCAAATAAGCCTCGTCAAAGTTAAAAAAAAAAAAAAAAATAAAAAATAGTTCCTGAGTAAACAATGGTAAATTATGATGCCCGTGTATAAGGGGTCTTAGGGAAACTTTAACCACTTCAAGATTTAGAACTTTAGAGATACATCTTTAAAAAATTACAACAAAGTTTTTAGGACATCTTTAACATGCAGATCCTTTTTCAGTGCCACCTTTACCTGCAAAATGTCAGCTGGTGATAGCTTTGTTCTACACAGCAGTAGAAGCTGCAAAAATGCAGGCACTTCTTTGTGAAATGATACTTGCAGAAAGTCAGCAAATGTCATTGAATAAATACAATGAATCCATGTATTGTTACATTGTATTTTATTCATGTGTAGATCAAAGGTGAAATACAAATGAATGAACTTAAAAATCTTACTAGTTAAAAAACACACATTTGTATTCTCTAAATACATGTATTCATATTTAACCCTTTATTAACATTTCCTTTGTTTCCCCTTGGTTATTATTTTTCTGCTGGTTTGTTTTTTATTTTTTTTTACCATTAAGATTTTTTTTCATTTTTATTATTTTGTCAGTATGAGCATCAAGAAAATGCACACAATTTAAAAAAGGGCCTTTTTTATTTGCAGATAACCTTTCCAGCTTTTCCATTTTAAATGTAACAAATTGTAGAATAAAATGCATACATTCTTCTTACAGTAAAACTATTTTTTTAAACTAATAGTGGTCAAAGCAGATGAAATAAAAGGCTTTTTTGTGTTTTATAGATTCCATAGAAAATTAAATAATTTTTGCCAAACGAGTCCACCCCCCTTTCCAAAAAAATAATATATCACTTTTTTGTCATAAGTAAGTAATGACAAATAAACAGGCCCATAGTGGAGGTTTATACAGTCCAGAAGGGGTATACAGGCACATAAGTGAGTTTAGCAAGGCTGTTTTGGAAATGTAAGTAAATAGGCCTCTCTAAACTGCAAAGAGAGTTCTGGGTAAAAGAGGCTGTAGTATGTACTAACATACCTGCTGGATAAAAATTACATATACCCAGAAGCCCCTTCACCTTTTGACGGGGTTCTCTAATTATTGATGAAAGTAGAATACTTTGGGAAGATTACTACATAAGCCTGTGGATAGTTGCTTTGCATGACTGCTCATGGGTAGCCTCAAGGCCTCGCATGGTAAAATATCTCATAGTATTTGTAAAACATGAGGTAGAAAAACAGATTACCATAATTTTTGTTTGATTTTTAACTGAGCTTCTATTTCCTCTACATTATGCAATACTGGCTGTCAGTCATCATGTTTAATCCATTTTCTTTAACTTATTTTTTATTTATTACTGCTCACAAATTTCTCTCGAGAACAATTTATTTTTCCAGAGCTTTACGTTGTATTTGTTGTTCCTGGTCTGCTGAATTCATTGTTATTGTCAGAATTTCCATGTTTTATGTATTGTATGTTTGTTCATTTATTTTACAATTATCACTTTCTTTTTGTCGTTTGTTTTGCTTTGCTTTGGTCATTCTTTGCTTCATTGCTTCATTCTCACCTTTCAAGAGTATCTACGAGGGGAACTTGGGTTGTGGCTACTTAAAAGAGCGAAAAGCTTCTGGACTGATCTTTTGTGAAAACACTTCTTCCTTGTATAGTACTTTATTTGTGAGTTTCTGGGTGGTGGCTGCTGAGTGCTGCAATAGACATGCATGTGTGGCGACATTGCATGTTTTTCAGCATGTCCTCAACACTATTTCCAACAGCAACTATTTAATAATGACAATGGTAATCCTAGTTAATAACGGCTTGAAATAGAAAGCTGTGTCAGCCTTAGACTTCGTTCACAAGCTTATGTTGGTAACAATTGTCCTGTAGGTTTAAGTGCAATCACACCTAATATAAAAGGAGTCTATCAATTTAACATGCATATTTTTTTTTCTTTAAAAAGTGTACCTGAAAGTAGGGATAATGATGTCATATATTGAAGCTTACCAGTCCTTAGATATGGTGGCTGCATTAATTTTCTTTTTATAGGCTAAGCACTTTTTTGCAAGTACAGAAAAATACTTATTGATCCTGCCAGAAACCCAATGTGCATGTAAGTTCCTGTACATTGAACTGAAATTTTTAAACAATGTGATCAGCCTTCCCATTTCTCTTATGTGACTTACAAAACCCCTCCTCCTTATGTTATGCAGTGGAGGGGGTATTTGTAATCCAAAGCAGTTGAGCAGCTTAAGGCAACAAAGCTGCTTCCAGAAAATTACAGTAGGAGGAGGAGCATTGTCATCCTAGAACAAGGATGTGTCTTAGGCTTGCCATAGACAGAGCAAATTTCTTTCCCGCAACCACTCAGTTCCTCCATCAACACAGACAGCGTTGACAGGGGAATGTCTCTGCGGAGCTATTGTTTTTCTCCTGGCAGGGGTAGCCGTCCCCACTGGAAGAACAGTGATTATTGCTAGCGGCTATAATAGCAATACTATAAAAGCAATAATCTCTGGCTGGTTGTACCTGAGTCGATCGTTCAACTCTGGTACATTCAGCCTGCCCATTCATGGTTCAAATCTCGTCCAGTTTCTGCTGATACAGCCAATATTTGACTAGTCTATGGCTTGCTTTACTGGCATGATCTCTACTTGGGAAGGGGGGGGGGGAAACACTAATGTATCTACAATATCTAAATATTGGTAAGCTGCACCATATTACATGTTTGTTTTGTTAATGTCATTTTTGTTAACATCATTCATGTCCAGTATACTCCATGCTGATACTTTAGTCTTTTTTTGGATGCCAGTGGGCTTAATTTTAGCAGTGCAACTGGGTCAGCTGGTAAAATTTCTCAACTGGCATCTGATTTGCCAGCTTTGTGCCACAAATGTTGCTATTAAAAATGATCTTAAATTCTGTAGTGGTTTAGAGCATGGGTGGGTAACTGTGGCCCTCCAGCTGTTGTAGAACTACAAGTCCCATGAGGCATTGCAAAACTGACAGTTACAAGCATGACTCCCAAAGGCAGAGACATGATGGGACTTGTAGTTCACCAACAGCTGGAGGGCCACAGTTGCCCACCCCTGGTTTAGAGGTGTTTCAAGGAGATAGCTGCTTTGCAAACTAAGACAGTAGAGTGTCAACCCTCTGAAAACGAAATGAATTTCCATCTCACACATCACCATATAGCTATGAACTTGTTTAATGAAAAAATGTTTTATTTAATCTGTCGCAAACCTAGCCACTTTAGCATTTCATCATTTGATATAAAAAAAAAAAGTATAAGCAGAGATTTAATCTGTGCAAAGCCCATTTATGGGCACCATAGTATTTATACATTTAGGCGGATGCTACATTTGTTGGGCTTGCTTGAATTGGTGCGAGGACACATTGGCTGCCTTCAGCTGCCATTGTGCTGTGCTGGGCTTCTGGTTTGTCCCTGCTCCCTTAAGGAGAAATGAGTTGCCTCCAAGCTTGCCTGCCCTTAATTTATACATTGATAAATATCCACCAATTTAGAGGCTTTCAAAGATTAGAGTTATAATCGCGTTATACAGAGAGGGGTCCTGATGATGTAGTTTGGCTTCCACATATATTTGCAAATGTTGAAAAAACTCTGTTTTTACCACAGATTGTTAGACAATATATAGGCTTGGCTGGTGGAAGCATGCAGGCTTTTACTACTTTACTGAAAAAGTTGATATTTGCAAGTGACTCCAGCAGCCTATGCCTCTGGATATACTTAATGCTTTGGTAGGTAGGTAGTTTTTTTTTTTTTTTTGTTTTTTTTTTTCTTCATGAATGTAGACTCTGTTTTTGCATTTTCATTTTAGGCTCACTGTAAATTGCCTAGGTTTGTAATAGATTTACGTTAGCCTATAATGTAGTTATTATAAAGTAGTATGTGCTTTTATTTAACCTTTTTTGCATGTACAAGTATGAATAGACCCCTGTAAAATGCACATCTATTCTATATTTTATAGTGTAAGTCAGGACAATGAAATAGTAAAGTTGGTAAGCATTCAGAGTTAGCTCTTTGCCGTTAGGGTGTATTTACGTAGTATTCTTACACTGACACAAATTCCATGTGTGTATAGCAATTTCCATGCAGTACATTTTGACAGGTCATTCATTTGAATGGGATGCAAAATGCACTGGAACATGAAAAAGTAGTCCTTGCTCCTACTTTTTCAAAATGCATTGCACTTAACCGCATGGTACTGCAATACAATGCGATTTGGTGCTCACAAGCGTACTGTGTTTGTGATCTACGTAATCCACTGTTACTTGCATGCAGTTTGCAAGCACCATGTGTTCATCTGTGGGGTGGGATATGCGCATGCCTTTCCTGCACCTTGTTCTGGTGTGAACTGGCCCTCAAAGTGAATCTGTGGACAGAATATGGACATTCGAGTAGTTACATATTCTTAATAAGCAGTAAATGTGGGCATTCTCATAGTGCACAGCAGAAGTAATGAACAAATTCATTCTCATAAGTTCATCCTGCTATCCTCTCCTACAGTGACTTAGCAGCCTCCTGTCCTAATTTATGATATAAATGCAGAACAGTTGCTGTGAAAGTGGGAGTAGGGTGAACTGAGCTGCTGAGGGAACCAACTCGCTTAACTTCAGTGCTTCTGATCTGAACTTTAAAGATGAATTGTTTCTTAGTACCCACAGCTACATGAGTCAGTGAGGGCTTGTTATAAACTCATTTTCTGCTGCCTAGGAATATGCAAATATTTGAAGGTCCATAGCTTGGTCACAGGTTCACTTTAAGGCCACTCTCTATCAAGTATACTTTCTACTCTAGTTCAGGTGAATTTAATATTTTTTGGGTTATATATATATGGAGCATACCTTGTACATTTGACCTTGTAGAATAGCAATGTATCACTGATTTCTGTTTTTTTTTTTTTTTTCTACAATTAGCTTTTCTCTATTGCACATTACAGTGATGTCCTGTTCTGTCTTTTAGTTTGCATTTTTTGGACACCATCCCTCCTGCTGTCTTTGTTGTGTCTGGTGTTGTTATGCTTGTTCTTATTGTGCCTTCCTGTGGTTAACCTGCAAGAGCGCCCTCATAGCATGGTTTATTAACCCTACGTGTGTTCATTTTTCCCCATTATAAGAATAATCCATTAGAAATTAACCAGGATGGTATGAAGAAGTCTGCCGTTGACAAAGCTAAAAAGGTAACCATCAAAGTTCAAACTATCAGAGCCTAAAAATGGAATCCAACAGCTCATGTATGACAGAAATAAAAGAATGCACAAGAAAGTATGTATTGAGGTTAACTTATCTTGTACAGACACCCTCACCATGGCAGTTTATATTTTTAAAGTGTACCAGTCACTTGAATGGAAGGAGGCAGCTGATCTGCACAGTACAGCTTATCCATTCATGTGCATTGAAGCATGATGCACTTTGCAGAAAGAATTTCATTCTTTCTGCACTTTATGGTCATTACTACAATTTTAATTTCAGCGCTGCATTTCTTAGACTTTATTTTATCACTGAGGTGCCGAGGTATACCTTTTTTGCTAGCAGCTCCGCATTATCAAATCTTTTCTATCTAACCTGCATCAAGTTACATTAAGTCGCGCTCGTTCACTTTTGTTTATTATGATGCACTTTGGTCCATGTTCATCGGGGAAGAATGTTGTCATTTTCCCTTTTTGTGTGTGTCCACTGCAATATGGGATTGTGTAAGAAGGTTGCTTCAGAGATGAGGCTTCCTTCATACCTGTATGCCACAGGGTTGTCCTTTGTCCAGATTTGGTGGACAAATACAGTGAGTATATCTAATACATGATCAGTGGTCTTCTAAACTACAGTTGCATGACAGCTGCACTTTGGATACATTCGACTTTAAAACATCTTTTTGCAGTCCTGTTAAAGTAGACATGAGGCTATCGAGCAAAAGGGTGAGAATGGTAGATTCTGTCCTTGTTTATTCTGGTTATGAATATTTCATCTTTGTGTGAAATGTGGCATTTCAGCCTTATTTGAGTCTTGTTCACCTCTGTTTGTATGTCACAATGGCATGCATAGGAGGTCAGATCCTGGGAGAGTTTTCGTTCATAATTCTATTCAGTTCCTCACAGAGGTCTGACTAGAGATCTCGGCACGATGGCCCCTTCTTTCTATTAAGTCCACACTATATATTTCAGTTATGTTGCTACTTTTTTCATTTTTCTAAATTTTTTTTTTGTTACTAATTCTAGTATACAAAAATACAAATGAAGATTTAAAAAAAACACTTTGATAAGGAAAATGAAAGTGAACATTCTATTTGAATATAAAGATTTAACTTGCACAGTAACTAGAACAAAAGGCAACATAACTACATGTATTTCACCTTTTGTATGTTCTGTGGTTGAAGTTTTTTTTCATCAAAATTTAATAACAGTCAAAATAAACTGTCAACCATGCATACCACTGACCCTCATACCCTTTTTGTATTGATTTTATTTTTGAGCCTGGGTTCACACTTGTGCGGTGCGGCATATCGCATGTGATTTGCACAGGAACCACACTGCAATCCTGTGCAAATCACATGAGAATTCTGTGTGGTGCGATTTGAGCCATACATTTTGTATGGCTCAAATCACACCGCATCCGCAGCAAAAACATGTAAGACCCTTTTTTGGTCCACAATAGAATTGGATAGCAGGGGTAGTCACACCCTTGCGATCCGATTCTGCACATTGCACCATGTTTTGCGGACGAATTTCATGGTGGTGTTAACTTAACATACACACCCGCAGAGGTTCGCATGAACTGGGTGTGATTGTGATGCGGTGCGGAATTCGCACAGAAACTGCTGCAAATTCCGCACCGCATCAGTGTGAACCCAGGCTAAATGTGATCTTGCATTTCCTGTCTATTCTGATCCATGGGCATCTATCTATATTTACTGCCCTGCTCTCTTAAATTACAACAGTGTGACTGACACCAAACTTTTCTTCAGAAAGAACATGGCACTGCCATTGTTACATACAAAATGCTGAATGAGCAGAGCTGAACATCACACTTCCAAAGCACATTGGTCTTCATGTATAAAGTGTTTAACTGAAGAACAATATCTTTTCCTTCTCTAACAACCAAACTTCTTGTCTTTTACCTGTTGCTAAGACAGAATGCATAGGAGAGATATTGATTAGCTGGTACAATTTAAAAATGTAGATTGTTCTATTGCTAGATACTTCATACATGAGGAGCACTATAAGGGCTACACCTACCTTTCTACTCTGCTCCATGGTCTTATAGTAAATAATATCAAATGCACATTATAGAAGATTTCTCACTTCCATTTTTATTAGGTGTTCTGTTCAGCAGGGAACAAAGTACATGTACTTTGTCCCATTTTCCTATGTGCTGTCTAAGGCTGCCTTTGAGGTTGGACAGGGCACACCTCCTCCCCCTCCACGGCTGTTGGACAGTGCAGCTAGCAAGGAGATGACTGCCTTGACAGATGTAACCTTTCTCCAACTCTAAGCACTTAGCCACTTGCCTGGAACATGTTAGTTGTCAAGTCCCCCTCCCCTCCATTACTGCTGAGATGATTATCTCGGGCAAGTGATTTGAACATAGAAAAGTACCATCGGTCAAAGCATCCATCTCCTTGCTAGCTGCATTGTCGGATGACCACGGAGGGAGGAGGGGTGCCCTGTCCAATTTCACAGTTCGCTTTAGACAAGAACATAGCAGATGGCACAAAGTACTACTTGCACTTTTTCCCTTGTGGAACAGAACCCGTTAATGAAAGCAAGCCTTCTTAATTAATCATGCATTCAGGTAATTACAAAGACAAAGGAAAGATTATCGGTTCACTGAAAACAGAAATATCATCACAGCATACTACAACAGGAAAAAAATAATGGGGTTGATTTTCTAAAGAAATAGAAACTATTTACTTTGCATAGTGATTGTTTTCTGACCTTTTTAAAGTGGTTGTAAATCTCAGACATGAAATATGAACAAAGCATATCCTTCTATAGTGTGTGCTTGTCTCAATCCAGAGTAAAGTGTCATTTCTGTCTACAGATACAGATATGTAATCACCCAATCATGTTTTAGTAAAAATCCTATATAAATCTCTTTTCCACATGATTGGGTGTTCAAAGTCAACACAGGGTCACCTTAATTACTAGCATTAACTGATGCTGCTTTTTTAGTAAATCAACCTCGTATTCTAACAGAACACAGTCTAGTCTAGATTTAGGTTTGTATCTATTACAGTTGCTGAAGTTGCTTTCACTTGTGAAATGAGGCTCTTCGTGCCCCTTGGCTTGTATAGTTCAGTTTCTAGTAAACAGATTGGTTGTGTGCTTTGAACACTGATCTAGCCCCTGATCATAGTTGATGTAGAACATGCTCCTAAAAACAGACAGTCCTTTCTTGTAGAAGATAACATGACTTCGCTCCCTTCAGAGTGGAACAGTGTAAGATTAAACAGGAACTTCCTGCCCTTAATCTTTTTTTTTTTTTTTTTTTTTTCCTGCCTTATTTACTGCCATATTTTCTTTCCATGAAATGTACAATTATGTTCTTTTATGCTTTGTACATTTTAATTTCTGCATCATATAATATCTTTCCCAGTGTTAACTTGCATGAGCTTGCTAATGTTTATTTTACTTTATTTTGTTTGTTTCCTATGGCCAACAGTAATATGGTTTATTTTATAATCCAAGAAGCACTCTGTAGTGTCTCACACATAATAATGTGGGAAGATTTTATTGATTTTTTTTGTTTTTGTTTTTGGTACGTGTGCTGTTAACTTTAAAACAAGCATCAGTGAAAAGCTTCTGGACCAAATATGTTTTACTATTTGCTTCTCGGTTCTATCCACAGTCAGGAAAGAAGATTGGCAGCACGCCTAATCCCTTTGTGCTGTTTTCTCTGGGCCATAATGTACAGGAGAGTAAGGTAAGTGATGCTCAGATACTGTATTACCATTGTGTTCTGCAGGGATTTACAGAGAACGCACACAATCACATGCACTGGGTTTCTTCTAATCCGATGTCTATACTATGGCAGGCTATGTCATTAGAAACCTGTCTCCAAAAAATAAAACACATTTAATAAGGTTCTCCTCTTACCTACTGACCTAAAAAGTTCTGCTTGTGTATACATTGGGGCAAAAAAATTAGATGGCTTGATCACCTAGTTTGTAACCGGGTCACTGGTTTAGGGAATTGACTGCAACAGAGTTTTAGTTTTCAGTGGAGAAGAGTTATCAACTATGTCAACTTTATTTATTGAGATCTTCCAGTTAATAATAGATGTTATGAGAAAAGTATTACAACGATAGGTGGAAGATGTAAAACAACTCATACATTGCATGATACGTTATGGAGACGAATTATTTTAATTTTAGGGTGTCGAGGGGAAATTCATGTCCAGGTAGGAAGATTGTATTGTGAGGTTGAGAGAAACAGGGTTAGTGTATTAAAGATGGGGAGAAAATAACAGAGGAGGGGGCAGCTGGGATGGAGGGAGGTTGAGGCCCTAGTAGGCTATAACGTGTTATCTTATCTTGTAGACTATCAGTTTTTGTTATGATTGATTAGCTGTTAATGTCCTGTGTTGATTGGAGTGGAGGTTGATTAAATCTATTCTATTGGATTCAGTGACATGGGTTCCAGTATGTCAACATTTATCATGTTTGTTGCACAAATATATGGTATGATCTTGCATTGCCACAATATCATTGATTTACCAAATCATATGGAATGTGTGATAGGTTGCTTTTTAGAGGTGGAATATGCAGGCTCTTGCATTCAGCAGACGGATTGACAGGTATTTTTTTTCTTTTGATTTGGAAAGGTAGTTGAGCTGCAATATGAACATGGCAGGGGTATTTTCTGAGTGTATCCTCTACCAACCTTTCATTGCCATCATTGTCCCCACCTTTCTGGCCTATTTGAAAGAACAGGAAGCAAGGGAAAAACTTCCACCTCCTGTCTAATAGGTGTCAGAATTGATTTTGTAAACCTTCAATCCATCTAAAGCCTAAATATATACAAATATATTATTAATTTTTTTGTTTTAATTAAAATTGGGCTCTAGAGGATTGTTCCTGTTTACACCTGCCTACCTCTAATCCAATCCGGTACACCTAGAAAACCCACCCCCCAAAAAACAGAAGCACAGTTACATAGTCTGGCTGAAAAAAGACAAAAGTCCATCCAGTTCAACCATTAAAAAAAAAAAAAAAAAAAAAAAGTTATAATCCTATACCCACAGTTTATCCAGAGGAAGGCAAAATAAACACAGTAAAGCATGATCCAATTTGCTCCTGCAGGGGAAAAAATTCCTTCCTGATTCCCAGAGATGCAATCGGATATTCCCTGGATCAACTTTACCTATAAATGTTAGTATCCAGTTATATTCTGTGTATCTGAGAAAGAATCCGGACCTTTTTTAAAGCAATCCACTGAGCTGGCCAGAACCAACTCTTGAGTCTATTCCACATTTTCACAGCTTTCACCTTTCCGTGTTTCGAGATTAAATTTATTTTCCTCAAGACGTAAAGAGTGCCCCCTTGTCCTCTGTGATGATCTCAGGGTGAATAGCTCTACACCGAGTTCACTATATGAACCACTGATGTATTATACATGTTGATCATATCCCCCTTAATCTCCTCTTATCAAGAGAGAATAAATTCAGTTCCTCTAATCTTTCCTCATTGCTGAACAACTCCATGCCTCGTATCAGTTTAGTTGCCCTTCTCTGTACTTTCTCCAGTTCCCCAATGTTCTATTTGTGAATTGGTGCCCAAAACTGAACTGCATATTTCAGATGAGGTATTACTAATGATAGAAGCAGATCTGTCATTTTTTCAGTCTAGGTGGATCGGAACAGGTCAGTCGGGTGTAAATGGACAGCAGAGTCTTTTTACACCTGCCGGTCCATAGAGCAGAACAGGCTTGGTCCGTATCAGCTCTGAGTAAACTGAGTGGACATGAACCTGTCAATCCACCTGCTCTGCTCTGATCAATGGGATCAGTGGACAGATCCGTTGCTGATAATAACAGAGTCTGCCTCTTGTGAAAGGGGCCGTGCTTGAGCTGGCCAAACTAAAACTGGATGAAACTGGATTAGAGAGAATCTGGTAACTGTTCAAGGTAACTAATCAGCTTCTAACTTCAGCTTGTTCAGTTAAGCTTTGAAAATAAAAGGTAGAAGCTGATAGGTTTCCATGCACAGGTGCTCCAGATTCTGTCTTCTCCAGTATTAGTAAATTCCCCTCATTATATTTTTCTTGTGCAGATCAGCTAAATTAAGGCTTTCAGTTTGGGAGGAATTTTGTTTGTAAAGGTTAGTTCACAAGAATGATCACAAAGGTTAATGCTCCTTAAAATAATACTAGTGTTTAAATGGCAATAATTGTGAAGTTCTGTGACATGTGTAGGGTTTTAGCTTAGATTCCTAATTTAATAATCAGATCTTTCCCCAGCATTGTTCATCCTAAAATTAATTTGCAATTACCCCATGGAAACTGATTATTTATGCAATCTAAGTCTCTCAACATAGCACCAGGAAATAGTACTGTCACAGGCCTCGCTCTCAGATACTGTCCATCTCAGCAGAGGCCTGACTTGCAAGCTAAGTTTCGACAGTCATGGCAGTTCTTCCACCAAAAAGACCCTAACCAGGCTGGGTTAGATCAGATAAGATTAATAAAGTAATAGATTAGTGATTAATAGATAAATTAAAAGATAAGATTAATAACTCGGCAGCCACTCAGTGCACTTTCACATTTGAAACTCTCCTCCAGAAACTTAATATAACACTGAGCTACATGGTTAGAGCAGCTAATTTTGTATTTTTGGGGTAGGCAATACTTTTTGCTCTGAATTCTTTTCCTGGTGTTAGTTCAATTAAAACTAATGTCTTGATAAAGGCGTTAACTATAAATTGACCATACAGGTGTCTTTTAGGGTAAAAGACAACTCCAAGCTAATGTTCTACCTCAGTGGTCTCCAAACTGCAGCCCAGGGGCCTGATGTGGCCATTTGCTTGCCTTTATCTGGCCCTTGGTGCACTACTCCTCCACTTGATACCAATGATTCAACACCACGCCTCTCACTCACAGCATCAATGGGGCACTATTCCTCCCACTGATACCCAAAAGGGGCACAATTCCTCCCATTGAAACCAATGATGGGGCATTTCTTGCTTCCACTTACCAGTCTGGCCAACCCAAAGTCTGAAGGACAGCAAACTGGCCCTTTTGCTTAGAAAGTTTGGAGACCCCTACTCTACCTGAAAAGTTTATTTTAGAGGCAATACTTCTCATTGTACCCTGTGGGATTGATTTACTAAAACTGGAGAGTACAAAATCTGGTACAGCTGGGCATAGAAACCAATCAGCTTCTAACTTCAGCTTGTTCAATTAAGCTTTGACAAAAAAAAAGACCTGGAAGCTGATTGGTTTCTCTGCAGAGCTGCACCAGATTTTCGCTCCAGTTTTCGTAAATCAATTATTTTGTGTCTACAATTAATATTTCAAATGGAGCAGCAAGGTGGTGTGATTACTTGTTATCCTATCTTCAAACAAGTCAGGCACAAAGTAGCTGTTTGCCTTCACCCACCACATTCTCTTGTGTGCTTGAGAGGCTTGGATTTTGCAGCCACTTGTACTTTGGGCTTATTAGACTTTGTTTGTACATTCTCAATTCATTTTTATTTAATTAGAAATCATTGCCAAGTACGTACATCAAGATTTGTGTAAAATTAAACCTTGACCTGGAAGATTGTACAATGTGATTGCCAGAGGTGGGCAGTTCTAGGGTCACGGTCTGTTGTACACAGTCATGGTCAAAAAAGAAGTAATTTACATGCTGGTACAGGGATTGATTTGCTGCTGTAGTATGTTGAATGGTTCAGTAGGAGAAATCCCAGAAATAAACACAAGGTGGCAGCAGAGTATTCTTTGAGGAAATCAAATGCGGGTGGTGCCAGTGTTCAGACATTAAAGGATAAATTCACCTTTTAACAAAAAATAATAAATGCACATTTTTTGCAGGTTAAAAAAAATGTGCATTTATTATTTGTTGTTTGTGGAGCCTCTAACGTATTGCACAAGCGATCAGCAGATCACTGTTGCCATGCAGGGCTCCCCCTGACCTGTCAGTATATCTACTTGCTTTTACATCCCATACGAGCAAGCACATACTACTGACAGGAAGGCTCAGTGAACTACCATGGCACTGTGGAGCACTGTGGTAGTTCATTCAAAACTACAAGCCGACAGCCGCAAAGGCTGTAGTTTTCCCATTCACAGAATAATGTGAATGAGAGACGTGGACAGGCGGGTGGAGCTCTGCATGGCCACAGCTTTTTTTTTTTCTAGATTTGTTAGCGAGGGGGGCAAGAAGATCCCCCGCTAGCTGTCGCAGCAGAAGCAGAGGAGGTCTAATTGTTACATGTTACACCCTGAATATGGGTGTAACACAGGGCTTAAAATTTCAAGTCCTGAGTTACTAGCCAGGCCTTAAGAGTTACTCGCCACCAACAAACACACACAGAGACACCTGTACACACACACAGACATGTACATACACACACACACACACACACACACAGAAACGTACACACATGCACAGAGACATATGTACATACAGACACATGTATACACACACAGGCATGTACAGACACGCATACACACAGATACATGTACATACACACAGAAAAACATGCACAGACACATATACATACACAGACATGTACAAACACAAATGTACGTACATACACATAAACACACATAGATGCGCATACACACAGACACATGTACACACATACATGTACATACACACAGATACATGTACAGATACACACAGACACATGTACATGCATACACAAACACATACACATGTACACACACACGCACGCTGTTAAGTGCTCTCTCCTCAAGCCACCACTGGCTGACATAGAGGATTATGTGACCAGAGTGAGCTGAATTTAGGTAGGCGCACACACACACACACAGCCCTATAAAAAGTTGCAGTACTTCGTTGTTCACTCACACAGAGCCGGGTACTGCACTCTAGGGGGAGGCAGAGAGCACAGCACACACTCCTTCCTTTGCTTTCACTGTGCTCAGCTATTGAGCAGTCATGACGGCTCCCAGTGCCAATGACAGATCCGGCCTGAGCTCTGAACCTGCTCAGCAAGATGGCCCTTGGTAGACACACTCGCCCCCCACCATAATTTCCACTTGCCATTGGCGAGCAGGCGAGTGGAAATTTCAAGGCGTTGTGTAACATGTTACAAAAGGTGAACTTATCCTTTTTATTATTGTTTACTTGTTCATTAACTTGTCAGTGTTTTGCTTGCCACTGTGGCTTTTTTGGCATTTTCCATCATTTTTACCTAAAAGAATATTAACTCTAATAGTAAAAAGTAGAGCATATTAAAACGCTTTTATGGATAACTCAAAAATCACTTTTGCGTACATTGAGGACAAAAACTCTGTAACTGTTGTTATGCTGCTGCTTACAGGATAATTTGGACACTGACAAACAAAAAACGACAGGCCTGTTAAGGATTACCCTCCTACTTCCAGTTTTTGGTCAGTGTCCTAGGACCATGGACATCATTTCCACAGCTCTAGTGTTAAAACTAAATGCATGTTTTGCTAGCATCTTCTTTTTTTTCACAACATCAGTGTTGGAACTTTATTGGAGTCCATTGGGGGGCACAGGTCCACCCCTCAGTACTGGTTTGCTAGAAAACTAAGGCTTGTTGGTAAATGGAGGGACTATCCTGGGCTGGCCTACAGGTTTTTTTTTTTTTTTTTTGCCAGTGTCCAAACCTCCTGTAAGTGGAAGTATAACCCTAAGGCGGTAGGTGTTCTGTGTCTCGGTCAACTCTAAGAAAAAGATTTTACGGTGAGTACAAAAATTCCATTTTTGTTTTTTTATACTTGTCTTTCTTCAACAGGTCAAATACAAAACCATCGAGCCAGTATGGGAACAGACCTTCACTTTCTTTGTCCACAATCCTAAAAGACAAGACCTAGAAGTTGAGGTAAAGCTGCATTTTGTATAATATATTTAGGTGACCATGCATGTTACAGTACAATAATTCACCCCCCCCCCCATAAGGTAGTTATGGAATTTAGTAACTGTTGAAGTTTGCAGCACAATATACCGGACCACACTGATTAATGGTTGGGTTTGAGTTTAACATTTTATTTCAGAGCATATGGACAGCAGTTAGAAAATGTTACCTGTGAATTTGAAGTAGATGTAAACCCTTACTGAATGACATTTAGCTAGCTAAAGCATTGTGCATTGTAATTTATGTGTAACTTTCTCTTTTGCTTCATATATCTCCAATCAGATTGAAACTTCAAGGCATGTTTGAGTCTGATTTGGTGGTTACGAGAATGTCGTAGTATTTACACTGAGACATGAGATTTTCAGTATGTTAAAAGACAAAAAGCAACATACAACAAAGGTGTTTGGAAATACCACTCCTGTATTTCATTTGGATATGCAAAAGGAGTTCCCAAATTGTCACATAACTGACAAATAGGAGTTTGGGTGGTGTTTTGTACCTATGCCTCTACAAAAAAATTGAAGGATGCAATGATACTGACTGTGTCTTTTTCCACACTGTGTCTCTATGTGGAGTTGGCCGTCTTCCTACAGACAGGGGTTTGCTTTCTAATGTCAGTGCTGCCTCCCTGATGCCTGGTGGGGTAATGATCAAGGCTGTTCATACATGGGTATTTTTTTAATTTTTTTTATCAGGCAACGGGCTGATCAAGAAAAAAAGGAATGGATTCTCCCATCCACACAAGCGAGGTGTGTCGAGAAATCTTCCCCACTGTGCTATTGAATTCTAACAGTGGGGAAGACCCTGCTGTCAGAGTACACTCATCAACACTGCAGCCAATTGGCTACAGGTGCTGATCGAATGAAAGTTTTGAAACAATTTCATTTAAGAGAAGTCAATCAATAGATCGACTTCTGTTGAGCATAAATGGCCATAGAAGGATAGAAATTTGGCTGGCCACTGCTGAATTTGCCAAATTTTGATCTATCTATGGCCAGTTTAAGAAGCAACAGTAGAGATGGGGGCAGCATAAATGTACAGAATAGATAAAGCAGAAAGATCCTTGCACTTTAGGTTCTTATGTACTGCTTTCTCTCCAGCAAGGAGAACAGTGAGCCGGACATTAGTCGCCTTATTGTAAATCTAATGAGACTAGTAGGAGACATCAGTGCCCTGGATAATCTCAGATAAACCACAGATATACAGCTTCGAGGCTACACGAGGAGTGCCTTGGTACTTTTTGAGTATAGGTCCATTTTAAATCCATATACTTTGACTATGCAAGTTCTCATTCAGAGAACATTATGCTAATGGTCTTTATAATTTCTGCTGTTTACCAGGCTGGCTCACCACTTCATAAGCTCATGTTGCCACTTCTGCACACCCTTCTCGCCGCTGCTGGAGATTGCTTGTGCAGGCGCACTGATCTGCTAATTGCTGTGTTGCTTTTCCAGAAGCAGCTGATATATAAACAAGAGTGGGTTGTCACACCTCTTTCGATATGGCATTTTGTTGGTGCCAGATGTCTGTTTTTCAGCAGCCTACTTTCCATTGGTATTGCTCATTTGTATGTCTGTGCTAGCTTGTGTTGATTTGGTGCCTTTAACAGATTTAAATGTGAGGCCAGCCATTTACTGCCTGATAGTGAGAGTTAATCCACACATGTGCTGTGTGGATTGAGGCTCAGGTTTCATAGTTAATTGATACAGTAGTTCAGCGGTTCAGGTCAGGTTTACATCAGGTTCAGGACAGAATTAGCTCGGGGTCTTATCCTGTTCACACACATGCGGTTTAGAAACGGTTCCCATAGAGGTCAATAGCCTGTAATCCACACCTGAACTTGAAGGTACTGCTCAGAAATTGTACCTGACTCTTTTTCACTCCACAGTTAATCCGTGCTGTCAGTGCACGGGACATATGTGAACAGACACCATAGGAAGCAATGTTTTTTCATGTCATGCAGATTGGATGCGGTTCAAACCACATCCAATCCGCATATATGTGAACCAGCACTTAGAGACGAACACACAACTCTGAAACTAGCTACGTATACCATTTAAGGGTTAAATGGAAACTAATGTAAGTTCACAGTTTGAGGAGGAGTTGTAAAATTCATTCTGATGAGGTTTTCACATTTTTAACCACTCCAGATGTTCCATAACTTGATCATTGCACTATATATATATACAATGCAGCAATGTAATTGCTCTCTCAAATGGACATCTGTATATCAGCGTACACAATTGACATCTCTACTAATAGGAAGCATGCAGTGGGAGAATATGAATGCTTCTATCACTTCAGAGGAACAGACCTGGAACAAGCATGAAGATCTGCTCCTGGCCTCAGTTCCAAGCTTATCCCAGGCTATTGACTTTAAGTATTGACTCTTCAAACACCCAGGCAGTTAGCCTTCTTAGTGAAGATCACCAATTGCATCCCCCCATATTTCTCCTATTACAAGATTCCTTGGATGGTTGCGTAAATCCGCTTACTCATGTATTTTTCTAGAAAACCAAACACTTGTGCAACTGTGCTAAGCAAGAAGCAGAGTCTGCATATGTAATGAGCAAATATGGCTTCCCCCATGTACATATAATTTATAAACTATAAAAGTAAACCAGGCTTTAAAAAAAAAAAAAAATATTTCCACTGAAACCATCTTGTCACCACTGTAAGAGAAAATTAAAAAACCAACACCCTGTAAAAGAATCGGCTTAAGAGCTCATGCATACAGACATACCATAAGCCGTATTCAGATCCATAGTTTATACGCATCTGAACACAGAAGTATTGTATGCTATAAGCCCATTCACTCCTCTGTTTTGCTTCGTAGCCTTTAGCTGTGTACACCAGCATTAGAAAAATTTAAATTTTCACTCAAAACATTCAGGGTCCGATTTTTGACCATATTTTACACTATACGCATGTAAACGTTTACATGTGTGCAGCATAAATGGTGATTCTTTTACAGAGTGCTGCTGATTTAATGTTTTTAATCTTCCTGCTTTTTTAAATTTTTTTTTTTTTTTTTTTTTTTTTTAAATCTTCCAGCTGTAAGATTTTTTTTTTTTTCTACTGATAGATTGATTGTAGGGTTTCAGTCTTAGTTTGCTGTTTCCCTTGGGAAGATTTCCCACTCTTCCTGTTATCAGAGCCCCTATTACTGGTACAGGACAAATGATAAATCTCTCCAATCTCTCACTTTTAGAAGAGTAAAGAAAGGTTGGAACCTCTGGTTTTTATGCCTTTTTCCTGTCCTGGTGACCCCCCCCCCCCCCTTACCCATGAGGGGAAATCTTCCCAAGCATGTTATTTACAGAAGTAAAAGCCTGAAAAAATAATTCTACATTTCTACCCTCTATTTAAAATGTAAAAAAAAAACTCAGCAGTTGATCTCTTTTTTTTGTCTCTTTAACAAGTGAGACAAGCAATGCTCAGCAACAATCAATAAAAATGACTGGCACAGTTTAAAGGGGGATGTAAAACTGACCATTCAAAGTACAGGCAGTTATGGAATTCCACTACACACATAATAATGTGCTACACCTCCCTGAGCAATCATCCATATATTGTTAGAGAGCTCCAAATTAAATATAAATATCATGTTTCATAAAAATATTCATAGTATCTCACTATAATGATGACACAATGATGGCCTTATATAATGGGGGTTTTCAGTCAGGCCCCACACCACCTTCTCTCTCCCCTCCCCCCCCCCCACCCTTCTAGGTCCCCATTTTTTCCACAATTTAATATCCTCTTGCTTCATCTGTTAAAGCTGGGACTACACTCCACAACCACACTTACCCCTCTCTCCCTTTGTCCTGTTCTGTTATAGGGCTTCCAGAGCCCTCTGTGATAAATTCCCCTCCTGGCAGTCAAATTTAGAGGCTTCCACCCCCATGCATTCCTCGACATTTTCTACATCAAATTGGTCTATGCCTTCCCCCACCCAGCCAATGCTCACAATTATGTTTTCCCTACCAGTATTTGTTTCCTAAAATACATGTGAAAGTTAGCAAAAGAACAAAAAATATATTCGTAGTATGTGGGCTCCTTTAGGAGAATTCAGTGCAACATGGGGCATGCTGAACCAGAAGAGAAATTGGCCGCACTTCAATGTAGATAAAATCAATAATCATCTTTACAATAGCTAGTGCATAGTACTCATTCTGGAAGTCTTGCTGAGTTAATGCAACATTTCTGCCATGCACTGCTGAATAGTACATTGTCTTTTAGGAATCATTCTTTTTATCTACAGAAAACTGTTACTTTATTGCGATTGTATGAAAACAACATGCCCCCTGGCCACAGGAAATTGTCACTGAGAATTTAGCTACAAATTGATCTTAAAGAGGACGAGCAGATTTTTTTTTTTTTGTAAATGGACAAATAAAAGTTGAAATAAACCATTCCAGAATGGCATTAAGCCAAATTTTTTTTTAATGAAGAATTTTTTTTTCATCCTTTGTGGCCTCTTAGTGCTACTGATCTCCTGCAACCAATTCAGTCTACACGTATGCACTCCAGCAATGGTTGCATGCCATTCCTCAGTGTGGGTTTGTTGATGGTGAAAACAGTGAACCATGCCTGATTAATGTATGTTAAAATTTCCACTTGTAGTCTCCTTCAGAAACGTGTGACTGGGTTACAGCGCAAGAACACAATTGGAAAGCAGGACAGAATTGTGTCTCCCATTTTCTGAAAAAGGGCCTTCAAGGCTGGGTCAACAGGTATTTTTTTTAAATGAAAGCCATGATCCTTTTACAGCTGACAGCAGGCTGGTGTCACTCAGCTGGTCCAGGCTCTACATTGATCTTGACTTTACATTCGGGATCCACCCAGATGCCTGGATCGGCAGCTGGCTCAACCACTCAACTAGCTGCTGAGAGCCTGAGCCAGCCACTCTCACTCTTCCACAGCCCGGCACTCTGAGTGCTGGAGGGGCAGAACAGAGAGCCAGTGACAGTCACCAGCTCTCTGCTCACTTTAGGCTGAGAACCAAGCAACCAGCGGTCTTCGATTGCTCAGTTCTCAGTCTTAGATAATGCCTGGGACAGATGCAGCATCGATCGATGCTCCATCCACCTAGGTGAGTATAAATGTTTATTTTAAGTACTGTAGATTGAAAAAAAATGTTTTTACATAGGATCAAATCTTTTTGGCACAGTAAAATATAAGCTATTGTTATGAAACTCCTTGTTATAATTCTAATGTATACACTGTAACAAGATGGCACTGGGAGATTTAGGGTGGCTTCCCACTGCCCCACTGTGCTTTTCCATAGACTTCTATGAGGTCCCGCGGTTTTGGTGTGGTTTCATAAAGGGCACCAAAACACCATGCTGTATCTTTGGTGCGCTTTCTGAAAGCGCGAGACATCGAAAAGTATATGTGAAAGCGCAGCTAACCTACATGAAAGCTGCGAGTTAGCTGCTCTTTGTTTGCCCATAGTGCAGTGGGACCGCATCAGGGCAGTGTGTAGTCACACTAAAGATCATTGGGATAGTTCATTCCCAGGAAAATTTGGTCATCATTTTCTGAGTTAATGCTTTAATACTGGCTTTGTTCACTCTTCCAGGTAAAGGATGAATATCATCAAAGTTCTATGGGAAATCTAAAGATTCCGCTAAGCCAGCTGCTGACCAGTGAAAACATGACAATTAATCAGAGGTTTCAGCTAAACAACTCTGGTCCAAATAGCACCCTGAAGATGAAGGTTGCACTCAGGGTATATATAACTATTCATTTACTTATGTTTTTCTGTCTGTGTTATGTCAGAATTAGAATAGAGTTTGTGATGGCTGAACAAGCCAACAAAAACCAGTGGAAATTTATTTTATTTTAATTTATCCACCAGCAGGTAGCATTGCATGAAATATCTTAATCATAGCTCTCTGTTCACAAGACAGTGGATGCAGGAGAAATTTCTTTAAAACAAAGGCATATCGGTTCCCCTGGGGCTTTCCAGCTCCCTTTAACTATTGCTTTCCCTTATACTTGTATAGGATCTTTACAGCTCTGTAGCATCCAGCATAACATGCATGAATCTGTTTTGTTTTTTCTTATATTAAACCCTAGGAAAATGTAATTCTGTGACATTCATTGCTATATAGTTGGTTGGGATCCATCCCATTTATTCCATGTTCTATATTCTTTGAGATAAAAAACTTTATTCAGAGAAAATCAGAAATCCATCTAAAGCTTGTGGCAATTTGACATACGTAGACTCCTGTGCCTACAGTTCTGCTACAGCGGTTACTTAAATAGCATGGCACTGGAAGAAGGGGGGCAAACTGCTGCAGGTATGAAATTCAAGCACCTAGAGGTACACATGCAATAGCTTCCCAAACCTTTCTGTCACTTCTGAATCTCAAACTTCTGATGGCTATGCCAAAGCTTTCCGACCTATTCCTACCTTTTTGTTGGTCAGTGAAGCTTCCCAACAAACTGATGGACCAGTATGAATGTTTGGAGGATGGGCTTTTGTGAAAATTTAACATTACCCAAAAGTGTCAAAGCTTTGCCTGTGAAAATAGCCTGGCATTCAGACATGACAGTAAGTTTTAGCGGTGACATTCCTGCTCACCTCTAGGCCTCCTACCTGCATCGCTTTGTCACTTTCCCCCAGAGTGACCGCGCCTCTTTAGTTTTCATGAAACTTCTCTTACCTTTGATTCTTGAAAGCAGAACTACTCTACTTAACTGTAACATTTCATGGATGCTTTTCTCCCATAGATTCTTTATGTGGATAGACCTGTGCGGTCTCCTGATGAACAGTACACATCTCAAGTAAAGAGGCCATCCATTTTCAAAGGAAAGAATCCACCAACTCCAGCTCCTTCCCCTTCAGCACCAGATGCACAGAAGCCTCCCCCTACACCCAAAGTAGAAGCAAACCGAAAGACAGAGAATGGTGAAAAAGAGAGCCCACCAAGTGCTAGCCCCCAGAGACCAACAGAGCTAAATAAAAGCTCTTCCAGCCTCTCAGGTTCCAGCTTTACATATTCTCCTTCTCATGTGTCCATAAAGGAGCCCACTCCCAGCATCGCCTCGGACATCTCCTTACCCATAGCCACTCAGGAGCTTCGCCAGCGATTGCGGCAACTTCAAAAGTAAGTGCTCATCTTCCTATTTTGGATGTTAGCAGATGTCAGAACTTCACTAAAGAAAACAAGAAAGCTCCTGGTTTTCTCTTCACATGTTTAAAGAGGAATGTTACCCATAACAACTTGATAAAAAAAATGTCCGTTAGCAAGGAACCACAACGTTAATATTTATGCTACTGAAATTAGTGTGCGCTTTAAATTGCCTCTAGAATTGTTCCTGTTTATTCTTTGTGGAAGCTGCCATTTTGCTGAAGCCCGGGGCCCCTGAACAGCAGTAAATCATAAAGCGGAACTAAACCCAATGATTTAACAACCTAAAATACCAAACAGCAGCAAGAAAATGATCAAGCACCTGGAATCAGACTAGCCCCCCCCCCTGGATAGGCAGAATATCGTATACGTAAAACCAGCACTCACTCTCTATGCAAAAGTTCATAAAAATTTTATTTTGTTTTTTTTTTTTTAAATTTCAATGTCCATGTAGCAATGGTAATATTCTCTTTATGCTCTCACCAGATATATGATTAGATCAAGCCTTGTTACTCTTCAGTGCTCAATGCGTACTCCACAGGTACATAAAACTAAGCATAGTGTAGTATATTTACAATACCCAGAAAATGGCAAAAAAGAACTCTAAAACAAATCAAAAACCTCTTCACCACGTGATGGTGTAAATCCTCCACCTCATGTATTAGCTACACTTACCCTCAATAAAAGGACTTCTTGAAATAAACATGCGTCTGAGTCCCTTCCGATGTAACCTCCTCCTTCAAAGTCCTCAACCAAACTGTCAAACCATCAAATGGCTGGTGTCATAACTAATCACATGTGCAGTACCATGGCAGTTGCAGATCAAACAGAAGCAGCTTCCTTGGCTGTAAAGGATAGGAGAGTTTAATTCCGCTTTACAGCTGTCAGCAGATGGGCCTCTGCAAATTCAGCAGTGTCTAAAAATGGAGGCAACTGAGCATGTGCAGAGCAGGGTGAGACAGTGTATTACTGGATTTTAAACAGTATAGGCACTTATTGGCACTGCATGGCAAGACCACTTACTGTTATCTCACATACATATTCTTATTATTATAGCCAAATTTACCACCCTAACTCCTCCCACAGTTTTTACACTACATAGATAGTAATATACCAAAACGTGCGGATTGTTCCCGATTGGTGTGCTATTACTTTGTAGAACGTTTCGCCGAATGGTTCACGAAATATCAGCGTTTTTGTGGTGAAATTGGTCCCATAGGAATGAATGGCGGAATGTTCAAAACTAGAGTGGGAGCTGACAAAAGCTAGAGTGGGAGCTGAAAAATCAGGACATGATATCTAAACTGCCACCACTCCCTCATTTTCAAGCCCACCTACACAAATCGTATATCAAAACGTTCAGCTTTCCCTGCTGCCACTAAAAATGTCCACGGCTAAGCGATAGTCCTGATAGTATTCACAATATGACCATTTGTTTGCAACTGACGCCGCCCATTGATATTCATTGAAACTCCACTCTAGCCACCTCAAATTTGAAGGGCAATTTATAAACTGCGACTGTGCCTTCATTTTTAATATTTCAGAGACATACTATGCATCAAAATATAGGCCTGGGTCTTGTGATTCTCACAATATAAAGCTCTTCACTTTAGGATTTATAATTTTTAAACTACAACCGTTTGAAGATGGCAACCGCCAGTGAAGTGAGCAAGTTGGAGCAGTTTGTTTTTAACCGCTCTTCTCTGCCCTTGCTGTAGAGTGAGTTGCCATAGGAACCCAGGTGTGTGAGCAGGCAGCAGAGCGCCAAAAGCTAGAGTGTGAGCTGAAAAATCAGGACATGATTTCTAAACTGCCATCACTCCCTCATTTTCAAGCCCACCTACACAAATCTTATATCAAAACGCTCAGCTATCCCTGCTGCCACTAAAAATGCCCCCGGCTAAGCCATAGTCCTGATAGTTTTCACAATATGACCATTTGTTTGCAACTCACGCCACACATTGACCTTTTCACAGTTTCTCCAGCCACTCCAACCACACAAGTTACTCAAGCCACTCCACCCAGTTACTCTGCCCACTCCAGTTGTAGACTACTGGTGGAGGCAAGAACACTTCACACAATTTCCCCAGAAATTGTAGTTTTTCTAGTTTGTAATGTTTTACATAGCTATACCTGCAAAAGGGTGCAGCCTGAAGTGATCTAACAGGACCTAATTTTCTGACTAACGTTCCACTTTAAGTTTTACCAGGTGGATTTCAGGCCTCCTTGGATGCCACTTTTGGGCATAAGTTTCTATGGGCTGCTCCCTGAGTCTGTCAAGTCCTTCTTGCCCCTTTGTTATGTGGGCCTGTTTCTTTGCTGTGTTGCCCACCATTAAGCTGGACTGCTTTTGAACGTCCCATGATTAAAGACTAACTCCTGTTAGAAAGTTAATATTTCAACAAATGTCCCCACTCTAAGATGTCCCCTGTTCCACTGACAATTCAAAATGATATCATCAAGACAGATAAAAGGGGTAAATCAAAACCTGGCAGGGCTTCTAACCCTCTGGTGCTTTATCCAAAAAAAAATGTCTTTAGGTACACTTTCTGCTTGTTGGTACTCCGTGAGCTAGTTAATATTTCACAGTTTATCAAGGTATGAACGGCTTCTGTTAGTGTTGGAAGCTAAGATGAGAAAAAAACAGAAAAGAGCCCTGGCACAATTTAGGGAGCCATACATTAAACCTGGAAGAAAACAAACTCTGGCTTTTTAGGTATTTTACTGGAAGAACACACACAGCTTTATTCACATGTGCTTTATCTAAATGAGTCATTTCTTCTTTCCTCTGCTGGCACAGACCTCATTGGCAAGCTGCAGTCTTCTTCCTAACAGAATCCCATCTCCTTTCTCTGTATATCAGCAAGGCTTTCCAAACATAGTAGTTTAATTTAAAGTGGAACTAAAGCCATTGATTTAGGGCTGGTTCACACTTGGGTGAATAAAAAATGCAGGTAAAAACTGCATTCACCTGCATTTTTATGCACGTTTTTTAAACTGATGTGTTTAGTGATCTAGGTATAACTCACAGTGGCGCTGTAAGCTGAAGTAGGGGTCTTACCGCCGGGTGCAGTGAAGGGAGCAGGTGCCTTTCCACCATTCAGGGATGTAGAAGCATCATCAAAGGAGGAAGCAACGCTCACCAAGCCGGTGCATGAATATGTGAATGAGTGTGGCCTCAGTCAGTGCCGCTCCAGCCAGGCCCTCATGTCGTGTTTAGCTCCTTTTTTTTTTTTTTCCCCCCCCTGTGCATTTTCTGACTATTTCCTGTGTCATTTCTTTTCGCAAAAAATACAATAAAATCATTATTAGCGGATACGAACACAACATAACTTACAAAATTCTCCTCCTCCTGTTCACAGCTGTAAGAGTTTTCTGAGTTCACCTGTAGAGGGGTGCAGAAAACTGCAGCAGTGTCAGCTGCGGGGAAGTGTGAATGGGGCACATAGGGCACAGTAAACAACGTCTTTCTTTCTAGAAGACAGATTTACAGAAAAGTGGCTAGAAGACAGATTTGCATAGAAGTGGATGGAGGGCAGTTTTGTAGAGAAGAGGACTAGCAGCATTATTAAATTTGCATTAAAAACACAAGGGCATTCATACACCCATATGTGTGAATCCAGGCTCAAGAGACCATTATACTGTAGACACCTCACAGGAGACTGCTGGAGATCACTGCCTTTACAGCCTCTATTAAATCAATGCTTTCCTATTTGTTCTCCCTACAGGCAATTTCAATAATAATTGTCACGATTAATATTTTTTTAGCAAGATCCATTATGAAAGGTCAGATGTAAAAAAAAGGAGGAAAAAAGCAATGGAAAGCACATAAAAAAAGGTGTGAAATTAATAAACAAAACCTTTAACAAGTAGAAGCCGGCCGGACAAAAGAGCATTTTTCTTTTGCTGGCTTAAGCAAACACCAAACTACAGAATAATGTCTGCAAGGGTCCCGGGGGGATCGATATAAGTGCCAAGGTCTTCAAGTTGTGTACAGTACATAGAAAAGATAAGCAGTGAAGGGGGAAAACTAGTTTGTAACAAAACCATGGTCTTGTGCTCTACACAACTAGATGTTCCAATTTTATTGAATGTTTTAAAAACCTTGTTGCTTTGTATAGTGTGCAATTATTTTAGTACAAAAGGGCATTCTTACACTCCTCATACCGGTTCTTCCTACTTTGCATTGAGTGTATTTCACTGTAGCTCTCTCCCCAAGTCAGATCTGAGTTGATTGAAAGCAAGCTGTCTATAATGCCTACTAAATTTATTTTAGCAGCTATTAAGCAGGGATGCTAATCATACCCAGATGTCCACTAAAGGTGGCATGTACAAGTTTGTAAATGACATACAGTAGAGTAGTTACAATATTGAACAGGGGGCAAGAGAACCTAACTATGCCACCATTTACCACTTAACTCCTTCATTCATAGAAGCCATACTACAGTGTCTTATGATTGAAAAGCGATCTATGAATGGAGAGGGCTGACCTTTCAATCATCCGCCTGTCCTCCATTCATTGATCGTTTTTCATTTCTAGAAGCTGTAAAACTGCTTCTATGAATGGAGGAACATACAGGGTGTCCATAGACAGGCACTCTGGATGGGAGCCTAACAGCGGGCAGGGTGTATCACTGGAGGAGGTTTTACCTAACATAAGAGGCATCTGCACACGGGACACATCCTATTGACTGGAAGGTATATCCATTGTGCTGATTTGTGTTTTTTTTTTTCTTATTGCACTTTGCTTTTAGCTTTTGATAGTTAAAAATGAAATGTTCCTTTTCTGCAGGGTATCATGTATCATGGCTGTAAATGACTGCTCATGCATTTGTTTACTTCATATAGGAATCCATTTTAAACCCAAAAGCAAACATTTATTATGTTTCTGCATACCAATTCTTACATGTGATGGCTGCATTAGTTTCCTTTTTTAGTCATTCTTTTATTTTAACCTAATAATCTGGCCAGTAACTCTGTTGTTTTTCAACAGAAAAAGCTGTCATGCAGATATAGAAGTTTAGAGTGTTGGGACAAACCACTGACAGAGGTGCTGCTGCTGAACTGGTTGTGTAACTGTAGTGTGAGCTAGTGTTTGTCTTTAGTTTGTTAGTGTATCTATATCTGCTAGTACATCTAACACTCCCCGCCCCCTTGACTGGCAATGCTGTTGTTGTCCATATGTTCCCCATTGCTCTTTCATTCAGAGTGGAGGCATTCCAACACAGCAGGTGTGTTACTGGCCAGATCACCAGGTGAAAACCAAGGGGGGAAAAAAAACCTAAAGAAAACTAATGCAGCCACCACGATTAGTAAGTTGCAGTATATTGCATTTTTGGTTTTAATACCTCTTCAACTGACTAATCTAGACAGGTTATGCTTTTGATAGCAGATGGTTAGATGTATGTGCCTCTGTTTTTGTCCCATTTTTGTTTTTGTGTAGTCTGATCTGCTTTTGGGGCCTTCAGTGGGCCCCCTGCTGGATGCCAGTGGTATATCTTCTTGTTGAATTCCACAGTTTATTTATTATTTATTTCAGGTAGCTATACAGTGCCATCAATTCACGCAGCACTTTACATATATATTGTACATTCACATCAGTCCCTAACCCTCAAAGGGAGTACAATCTAAGGTCCCTAACTCACATTCATACATACACATGCTAGGGCCAATTTATACAGGAGCCAATTCACCTACCAACATGTCTTTGGAGTTTGGGAGGAAACCGGAGTACCCGGAGGAAACCCACGCAGGCACAGGGAGAACGTGCAAACTCCAGGCAGGTGGTGCCGTGGTTGAGATTCGAACCCACGACCCTAGTACTGCCAGGATTAAAGGGTATATTATCCAAACATTTCATATTTCTGAAATTCTGTGTCTGCTGTACCCTGTACTTGTATGGAAATGTATCCTGTTCTGTTTGCATTGCTTTGTTTTTGTGAAATACTTGGTGATCCTGCCAGTCCTCCTCCATTCCTATTTTAAACTGACCACACTAAGGTATGGAAGCACATCCATCCCTGCATGGTCAGTTTGATTCTTTGTCTGCCAATGGTTAGAATTGTACCATCACCCCCCCCCCCCCCCCCACCAATCTTTTACTGGGAAGATCTGTGTACTGCTGTTTCTCTGCCTCGTTTACACACACCACTCTGCAGCTCAGAACAGAGGTTATGTGAGTCTTTGATCGCTCAGTTCTGTGTGCAGAGCCGGGGGGTGGGGACAGGTGAGTATAATGTATTTTTTTTTTTTTTTTTTAATACCCCATACTTCTCTCTTAAACTAAATGGGTTGTTTTACAAGGGAAGGGTTCACATTCAGTATACTTTGACATATTCTTACTTCAAATTGCTTTAATAAAGATCCTCTGTTCTCTCACAACTGACCATGAAACCCAGTTTATTATTGCTGACCACAGAGAATTTGCCTTTTAGCGTGATGGCTTTTAGTGTGTGGACCTCAACCATAAGGGTGTTTTTATAAGCGTTTGCATTATTATTATGTTTACTTTTAACTCATTTTAATATGACTTTCCAACTTTGTCATGGCTGCTACAGCTTTGTTACTATGTCACAAATGTATATCTTCTCCATCTAACTAATAGCAATATTACACAGAAACAACATGGTCAATCAGAGTATAGTATGTGTGCCTCTGTCACCACTGGCCTAGAATTCCAGCAAGATCTAGTTCTCCAGTTACTCAAACATTTTTCCATTCCCCATGGGATGTGGGCATCCTGCTGCTTAACAGTGTGCATTTGTTCTTGACAGTCCTCAGACTAGAAAAATAGCATAGTGAGAAGCAGCAATAACGTTTGTACCGCACTACTAGGAAGCAGAGCCTGCATATTTAATGAGCAAATATGGCTTCCTCCTTTTATATATAATTCATTATATCCTATTCCATAGACACAATTTTTAAAACATAAACACACAAAACTATTTACTTTAGGCTGATTAGTTACACGTGTGTATCTAAAACATTGATTGACTATAATTTCCCTTTCAACACATTCCATTCTGCACTACTAGGCATATGCCTTCCACAAAACTATATGGAGACAGACAGTCTGGTATGGTAAAGTTTGTCCATGCGTTTTTTAGCTTCTAACACAAAGTTTTGAAAAAAAATGTGTATAAAGAAGAAGAATGGGATGTAGCAGTATTGTAAACATAATATAGCACTTACAACAGCTGCTAATATACTATACACACTTTCTCTTTTCAGTGGCACATCCTTGGGCCAGTCCCCTCTAGGACAGATCCAATTAACTTTGCGGTATACCTCTCACAGAAATAAACTTGTGGTCGTGGTACATTCCTGCCGGTAAGTCCGTACATAGAGCCAAATAAACTGGAAAATGTTCGGAAGAGCCTGTTTTGAAAATTGTAAAACAATAAGGAAACATTTTAAATAGTTAATTGCAGTGTGAAATGGAAAAAAATGCAAATCGTTGTTTTCATTTCTTTGGAGAAGAGGGGGAAAAAAAATCTGTCCTATCCTTGGGACTGCTGTTATGGCATTATTTCCTAGTTCAAGCTTTGTTGCTGGAGGTAGCAGATGTAGTAGGTGTTAAATGTACCTTGAATGTGGGCTCCTGTTTTTGATACAGTTAAGGGTGGCAATGGAACAATTTGCAGAATAATAAAGGTACTTGCAGGGACAGCAAGGTGCATCTACTTACAGACTTAAAGGGTAACTCCACTTTTGTGGGGAAAAAAAATTAGCAAATAAGAAACAAATTGAGACACAAGTCATATTGTAATTGAATGTTTTTACCTTTTGCTTTTCAACCTGAAGCACTCTAAATTTCTGTAAAATGCAATGCAATATGGCCACCTAGAAGAGTTATGTACACAGATGGTGTACAGGGTGCACCCCAGATATGTCATTTTCCGCTTCTGTGATTGGATCAGTGATTTTCTCAGAAGTATGCACTAAGATTCAAGTCAGATTTTGAGCATCTGCTGAAACAAACATTTCATTTTGATGAGATGCTCCCAAAAGGAAATCATGTCTAAAGGGATGCATACCCTGCAGGCTTCCTCATTAGAGCCCTGCAGGCACAGCAGCTGATTGAAACTGTATGGGAGTGATTTCATAGTTATCTCACTGCACATGGTCATGGACAAACTATTCGCTAATTCTTCAGAATAACAAAAGGCAGGAAACTGCAACAAGGTTTGGTAAAATCCTTGCAATGTACATAAACTACCCAAAGGGGAATGTTTTTTTTTTTTCTTCTCAACAATAGTAGTTAATTTTTAACAGGCTTAAACAGGTTTTTCAACTTTAAATTAAATCTGTTAATAAAAATCAGTGTCATAAGTTAATATAGTGTTCTAGTGAGTATGTAAAAAGGGCTGCATATATCATATATACTAACTTACCTTAAAAAAAAAAATGGTGCTCAAGGCACCCTCCAGAACTGGTCACATGACCTAAAGCCTAGGCATACTGAAGGGCAGGACCTCTCCATCTGAACTCTGATCCTCCCCTGTAACAGAGCTCACATCCAAACTACTAGTTTTATTGTTCTATGGCCAGCACTGAAGGGAGCGTGGAGCATCATTAATCTAGAAAAAGTATTTTTGCTTTTCTGTAAATTTTTAATATATACAGGACAACTATAGTATATGTTATTGTATTTTATGTCTGTATGTAGAAGAAGTCCAAAATATTTAGACCACTTTCTTTTGTTTCCCTTGTAGTAACTTGATAGCCTTCTCTGAAGATGGCTCCGATCCATATGTAAGATTGTATTTATTACCAGACAAGCGAAGGTCGGGAAGAAGAAAAACCCATGTGCTTAAGAAGACATTAAATCCTGTATATGATCTAAAGTATGACATTTTCTTCATTTTTGCCAGTGCATTATTCATGTATTTTCTAGGACTCTGTGGATGAAATTATACATTTAAAATAATTTAAAGTACTCTTCTTATGGCATTACATAAATTTATGAATGTAATGAAATTGCAAAAGTGATCAGCAAGCAGGAAAATGGGAAACTGTTACCCATGGAAAGGGAGGTAAATCTGTATAAACTTATCTCACTGTGTGAATATACAGCACGGAATTGGGGTGCCCCTGTGTATAGCAAAGACACACTTTACTATGCTTGACTCGGAGAGGGTTGGGAAATATAGGGGTTTATGGCAAATAGACTGTGTACTTACGCAAGAGCAGTTGCTACAGAGCTCAGTAAATGAGCAGAAGCTCTGCTGACTTCCATCAATCAATCATGTGCAAGCAAAAATGCTGTTATGTTTTTTTTTTATTTTCCTTGAATGTGATTAGGTATTCTTTGCAAAGTATAGCTTTACATGAGTTACTAAGCTCTGCAGCAACTGCACTGCAGAGTGCACAGTCTATTTGCCTTTAGTAAATCAACCATACTGTCAGTGATTATTTCTGCTTCTGGTTTGTCTAAAACAATAAACAGCCTAATTATTAATCGGACAATGTGCAAACTCAGATATATAAAGCCAAGAAGTATATATCCACTCATATCAGTCCATTCACATCTGTCCTGAGCCCAGAGGACATGAGTAAGCACAGGGCGGAAATTGCAGATTTGCCTAACACCAGTTAATTGTAGCTAAAACAATATATCTGTCAGTGAAGTAAGGAACACCAGTGGCCTCTAGAGAAGGAGATTTATTGGACCCAGAGATATGTTCCTTTTTAGAAGTATACAGTGCAGCAAGGACAGGCATATAGGAAGATATGTCACCAGCACAACATAGATCCATTAAAAATAGTCCCAAGTACTTATTGATGCAATCAAATCACAACCGTGTCAGTGCAACGTTTCAAGGCCACACAGGACCACACCGTCAGGCATGAGACAAAGAAGGAACCATAATTCATAGTACTCTGCTATGGATCCTTATCTGACTGTGCATAGCTTGTGGTGTCTGCAAGGATGGTGAACATGTAGACAGACAGTCCTGTTGGTAGAAGTTTGGACTCGCCAGCAATGATAGCTCTAAATGAAAGATTGACCACTGGGGTCATCTGGTTCCCCACTACCATTTCTGTATGCTGGAGCAATGTTGCAGCCTCTTGGTATTCCTCCTGGGTTATTGCTGTCTCTGCCAACCAGAAAAAGGGTTTCCCTAGGGTCATTTGTCACTGCAGCTGTAATTTCAGATGGACCAAGTTCACTCTCTGTTAAAGGGTTCTCAGTCAGACGTCCTTTGTCTCATAAGTAGTTTCTTCTTTGGGATTGCATGCATGATAGAGAGGTCCTGCTCGGCCTCCAAACATTGCAACAACTCTGTCTGTGGTGTGACCACTTCAATAAATACTTTAACTATTGTTTACGGATCCATGGTGTGCTGTCAACATATATTCTTACGTATATGTGCTGGCACTAGTTGACCTGTTTTGCTCAGAAATGTGTTCAATGGAAAAATGTTAAGGGAAGTTGGTAGGAAGAGTATAGAGGAAACAAACAACCACATGTTGCTCCTGAGCCACTGGTTGGAGGACCTCTGATTTTGACACTTCTTTTATTCTTGCAAGCTTCAATTGCTGTAAGGCAACAACTCCAATACCCTTTAGTTCCCATTTTACCTATAGTATGGTTAAAAAAAAAAAAAACCCTGCCGTGGATTCCAAATTCCAACTGTTTCTCCTTTGTTCACAAAATTATAACATACACTTGCAATTAATGTTTTTATGCTTTATTTGCAGATTTGAGTTCAATGTGACACTGCCAGAGCTCCAGAGGAGAACACTAGATGTTGCTGTAAAAAATAGTGGAGGATTCTTATCTAGGGATAAAGGTTTGCTTGGAAAGGTAAGCCTTCATGTACTGTGGTTCTTGTCATCTGGTGTAGAAGTCTTGTGGTTATCTTAAGCCAAACTACATATAAATATTAAAAACTTCTTTGCATTTAGTCACGTACAGTACTCATTAAAAAAATTGATGTATTTACATATAGGTAGTATAACAGCTGAAGAGATAAGAGCTGTTTCCAAAAGTTGTAAAGCACTATTTGCCCCTTTACTGAAACAACAACCTACCAGTAAGGATTCTTGCATTGATGCTGTAAAGGAGCTAATGGCTAATAGCCCTGGAAACAGAAGAGAAATCTAAGTAGTGGGGCTGCTGGGGAAATTAGGCAATTAAATTGGTTGTAATCAAACCTTCCCATAGAAGAAAAGTGGTCATGTGACCTTAAAAAAAATGATTATAAAAAGGTGTTTCTAGCATTATTTTTAAAGCATTTGCTATCTTCATCGATTGCAGATGGCATGTCCTATCCTTAAGATTTGGAAACTATCTGGTTTTCCAACCACTTTATAGTGGTTGTAAAGGCTAAAGATTTTTTACCTTCATGCATTCAATGCATTATGGTAAAAAAACCTTTTGTGTGCTGTTCCCCCCACAGCCCCCCCTAATACTTACCTGAGCCCCCTTTTGATATTGTGATGTACATCTCATCTGTCCAAGGTCTGTCTGTCTCTCCCTTCATTGGCTGAGACACAGCAGCAAGAGCCAGTGGCTTCCACTGCTGTCATTCACAGTCAGTGAGCCAATGATGAGAGAGCAGGGGGCGGGACAGAGCAATGACTGTGTCTTATGGACGCATAGAGCTGTGCTTGGGAGTGAGTACTCACCAGTGCCCCCATAGTAAGTGGCTTGCTATTTTGGCACTGGTTAAGGGGGACCGAAGAAGAAAACAACCGGGGCTGTTTTGTGCAAAAATCTTTACACAGAGCAGGTAAATATGACATGTTTGTTATTTAAAAAAAAAAAATCTTTAATATCACTTTAAGTGAAGCGGCTCCTTTGCCATGGGCTTCTTTGAAATAATTAGGATCCATATTTTATCAAAGTGCAAAAACTGCTAGTTTGCCAATTACCGTAACAACTATAGAATATAGTTATATGTATGGAGAAAAAAAAAAAAAGATTGTAAAAAAGCAGGCACCCTAAGTTCATGGGATCCCACAGGGCTCTAACCTGTATTGCTGGTAGCATCCAGGATTTGAGCACCAAGAGTGCTGAAGAGCACAGTGCCTGCACAGCTATGGAGCCTGTGCAGAATTTTCGATAGAGAGGTGTACTTTAAAGCACTGAACAATTACAAGGAGTAGGAGAGCTGCATTCAGCCTAGAAACACCAGATTGACATGGCTGCCTTACAGACTGTGTCCCCATTTCTCAATCGGCCACACTGTGACTTCCCTGAATCTTGGCCTCAGTCACTGCACAGATTGTGTTGGAACTGAATACGCCTGAGAGCAATAGCATCAAAAAGAAGTGTGAATGATTTATTTTTATTCATTTTACAGTTATTGCTGGACCTAAACTCAGAAGAAATTGCCAAAGGATGGACGCAATGGTAAGAAGGAAATATTTATCTTCTAATAAAACACACAGATATATACAAATGGCTGACACACAAAAAAAAGATAATTTCTGATGAATCATTTCATATTTTTTGCCATTCTTGTTTTGTAGAAGGATAGACTGCGACAGTCAGATACATATAAACCCAGCAACTTCTTCCCCATCATAAAACACTACATCCTAATTCTGAACCAAGCAGATGTTTTCATGTGTTGACCTTGAACCCCTCTGAAGCATACTCCCTTCCTTCTACACTGATGCTTACTTATTTCTTACTGGGTGTATTATTAATCAAATCAGAATCTCTGTGTATCCCTAAAGAAAAGTAAATCTTTAACCCTTGAAAGTGCAAATGTTATAAACCTTTTCTGCAATACTTCCCCAAAACTCAAATCCTACCCCACATTCCAAAATAAATCCAAAAATGTCCACAATGCAGAGTCCAAAATGTCCACACTATCCAATCTTCCAACTGTGATAAATATCCAATTCGTCACTCCAATCCAAGATACCTCAAAAAAATTTAAACTGAATATAGTGCATTATCTTTCAAATGATATATTATGTGATATCATGCAAAAACACTAGTGACACACAAAAAAAAAAAAAAAAAAAAAAAGCTGAAAGAGGGTAATAGCATGTTATCCTAACGCAGAGTGGTGGCACCTATTGGGACTAGTGCACTGTATCACTGGTCACATATCTTGGATTTGTCGTATTTCACTTGTTGGAGTGATTAACTCACCATATCACTGTTGAGTTGTGTGGATTTATTGAACTTCACGTGCAGGGTTTATAATATTGTAGAGTTATAATTTTGGTTCTCATTTATCTTACGATATATAATTTTTTTATTTATTTTTTTTTGTGTGTGTCACTAGTGTTTTTGCATGATATCACATAATATTATATCATTTGAAAGATAATGCACTATATTCAGTTTAAATTTTTTTGAGGTATCTTGGATTGGAGTGACGAATTGGATATTTATCACAGTTGGAAGATTGGATAGTGTGGACATTTTGGACTTTGCATTGTGGACATTTTTGGATTTATTTTGGAAATGTGGGGTAGGATTTGAGTTTTGGGTGTATTATTAAATTGAGAAGTCGATGTGAAATTTTTTGAGCATGATATATTTGGGCAGTCAGCAAACTTGATGGATCTGATTTATGAAAGTAAAGAAGACGTGAGCAAAAGTGCAGCTATTGCCAATAGCAGCCAGTCAGATTTCTTGTTTCTTTGAGATTGAAAACTAAAGTCTGATTGGTCCCTGTGAGCAGCAAATTTGTTAGATTATGGATAGGCAAAACTTTTTGTTTCCTGCTGTGGGGAACTTTGTTTTACTTCCTGTCCCAGAGACACAACAAAAAGTGATATGAAATCTCCCCAAAATTAAGGAATTCCCATCTTAGGCAGTTGTCACCAGAACATTTGTCCTCATTGAAGAATTTCTCCTCTTTTTCTCCTATGACGGCTCAAATATTTTGGATTTCCTAACACTTTCTATCATAGCAATGATGCTCACCAGGACAAACAGAGGGGTGAATCTCCCCAACATTGATGCAGACCTCACTGAAACCCCAACAGGAGTTCTAACCATTCCCTACTACTTGCCTTTACATAAACTTTTCTAATGGCTCATGCAAAGGTTACATATAAGGGTGGTGTCACTGTGATGCTCCCCAGGTGGTATTTTTGCTGCTTAAGTGTTACTAAACCCAGGACCCTGCATTTGCTATATCTGGTCTCCCATAGTACTCAGAACATGGAAAATTTTGTAAATAAAAACTTCAGCAGCAGTTAGAGCAGTCTTGTGACTTCTCTCAATGTCCAGCTGAGCACATGTTAAAGCTTGTAGGAGAAGTTTTAATTCTGCTCTAGGAGGATGCAGAGCCCCTGACCTATGTCTGGACAGTGCTGACTGGCCCTGTGCTGATCACAAGCACTGTCCCAAGAAGAAAAGAAAAAAAACTCTCTCTAGCAATACACACCAAACTGAGCATGTGCAGACTGTCTCCACATGATGTGTCTTATCAGGAGGTAAGAGGGGGACACTGGAAGAAGGGGAGGATTAGAGAAATCAGGGTCAAACAGCATTTTTACACAATACAGAGGATTAACTCTTTAGGTTCCACAGTGAGTATAACAAACATTCTTTACTGCATATACAGACTGATTTTACTGTTGTGGGTTTAGTAATACTTTAAGCTTACTATCAGAGATGATTATCTTTGCTTTAAGAACCTCAAGAACAGCACTTTCACTGTTGATCGTACCAGAAATGCAGTGTCTTTTGTCATTTTTGAGCTGAACTAGAAGCATGAAACAAAATTACTTCTGTAAGCTACAAATCTCCCCATCCCCAATGTCCTAGAGCTAAAGAGATGGAGGAATGTGTGGAGTCCAGCCTGGGTGACAACCATGGCTTCCTCCATAGATACAATGGAAGAGTGTACACAGCCACCCACTCTAGAACAAAACTTGTGTTATCCACAGGATTATCAATTGAAAATAAAGATCAGGTGCAATATATTAAGTTTTTGTGTTTTGGGGTAAGTGATGCATTGCCAAATTTCTGCATGGAGAAGGCAATAACATCTAGGTGTATAAAGCTTAGACTGGTTTTTGTTAACCTAATTGTTGATAATAACAATAAGACAAACGTTTAAACAAAACATTTTTGTTCTCTACAGGTATGATTTAACTGAAGATGGAACAAGAACATCAGTTTCCAACTAACCTGCCTACGTGTTTCAAGGCCCCTTTTACCTTCAGCATCAGAGAAAAAAGTGCACCACACTTTCATATAAATATTTATATATATATATATATATATATATATATATATATATATATATATATATATATATATATTATATAAAATTATAAAAAACATTTTTATAGTTCCATTTATTTCATGCGTCTTCTGCACACTTCTTTTTCTCTCCTTTAGATTGTTTCGCAGACCTTGTCATATACTGTCATGGAGCTTACATAGCTGTGCAGCTTTTGTTCTCAATCTTATAATGTGCAATAGGGTGTTTTAACTGCATTAAAAATCAAGGTATTCTTTTATAAAACCGGGAATATGTTTTTCATGCTTACAGCAGGTGGAGTTTTGTATTTACCACCATGTAAATATGTACTATTGTATTTTGTATTTTTTTTTTTTTGTGCAGTATTGATTTGAATTTCAGTTATAATGACATTCAGTTCTAGAGGGCCAGACAATGCCAAGTTCTTGAGCAGATGGATTAGTGTAAACTCTACATTGCTGATCCTTTTAGCTGTGTGGATTACAGAGGCAGTTTGTTCTTTGCTGTTTTAATGTTACTGTAATGGATGCTGTCCTTACTGAGGATCTCATTTTAATCAGATGTTCATACAGGGGCCATAAGCAGCTTCTAAATTAATGGCGGATTTTAATATGACAATGCACAGAACCTACAAGAGCTAATGATTATCCTGGGTAGTTGGTATGCTGAGATTATTGTGAATATTTTTCCTTTAAATGAGTTGTTTTTATTGTACTATTGTACATCTGTTGAATTACATTTTAAAAGAACAGTTTTAATTCTATTACTGAAAGGAAGCAGGCGAAAGAGCTGAATTCTGAAGTCAATCCGGCTTGCAAGGACCTTCTTGCCCGACGCCGAGATGGCCTTCCTGCTGTGTAGTTAGTTCTTTATATTGTGGCTCACCCAAGTGTGCCATGGTACTTGAATTAAGAGCACCTTAGTAATGTATTATAGTTGTCAAATAATAGTGGTACAAAATTGAGGCTTAGATGACAGGAGGAGGTGAAGATGGGCTCAGAAGACATGAAAGGATGTCTTTTTCAGAGCCCCTAAAAACTCTAGACAATCGGGCTGTTTACAGTACATCTAAACTCCTATAAGGTTTAATTATTTTGAGGTTTTTTCGATTTGTTTTTTGAGCAGGTGTTAAATTGTACATTTTAGATCTGAAGGTAGATATTTTCTGAAATTGGGAACCCTGGAGAATAAAAATGGGTGTAGTTGCAATTTTCTATCTCACACATTATTGGTGCAACTGTTTATCAAATGCATATTTTCTTACAAAAATAATATTACCCACAATAAATTGCCCGATTTGTTTGGCTAAAATAGTTTTGTTTTTTCCAAGTAACTAGATATACAACATGTCAAGCATTAAAACTGCACACCTGTAAAATGACAACAAACCTTGGTATCCAAATTTGTTCATAGGCAATGCCTGAAAAGTCTATATTAGTCATCAGTTTAATACCATAGAGATAACCATAAAAGCCTCATCATGCTGTCACACGCACTCCTGAGGGGGGGGGGGGGGCCATATGCAGCTGTGCCAACATACTTTGTGCAGACATGCTCTACTGGTGTCACTATACGAAAGCCAGTTGAGAGCAATTATGAACAGCAATTATTGTAGGAAGTCGCTGAAAAAGGCTGGATCACCAGCACTATTATGCAAAGAAAAAGGTGAAAACTGTATTTTATGGAGGAAAAATGTTGCAGCTGTTTATTAGACATTGTGCTTTAACAAATAAATTGCTCTCCAGTTAGGATTTAGGTCTATTTTATACTAAAAGCAGACTTGACATTGTTATATGCTGACCGTGCTGGTTTATACGATTTACCAGTTTTAAGAAAATAAACTTGCCTACCTGTGCAATAAGGAGCACTATGTATACAGTGGTGGCAGTTGTTCATAACAATGCAGTATGCTTGACTCTACAACTGCAATGAGAGTGCATGTTACACATTCAGCTTCAGAGATATCACAAAATAGACTGATAAAGTTAGTAGGCTTTCTGCACTGTATATAGAAGACATCTTTGTCTCCCACAAAAAGTGGAACTAAACACAGCTTCTTAAGCTGGGAGGACAACTGATTCACAGATTAAAGTTGAGTAGTAGCCACACATAACTTCTCCTTCCCTGACTGAGCCAAATCCTCCTTTGTAACACACATGCTCCCCCTCCCAGACACT